TGGATGGCAACCAACTGGATGGCAACCAACTGGATGGCAACCAACTGGATGGCAACCAACTGGATGGCAACCAACTGGATGGCAACCAACTGGATGGCAACCAACTGGATGGCAACCAACTGGATGGCAACCAACTGGATGAGCAGCTCTCTCTCTCCCTCACTTTAAACAAACTACAGCTCAAGTCAAAGCACTCCATTAGTCGAAAATTGCCGTGGTCATCTTCGCATGCGAAGGGCGAGCAATAATAATTAACAGGTGCTTTGGTGGGGCATAGCGCAAAGGAAGGTTTGGAACCATTGGCGTAGTTAAAACAATATGTGCAGGCACTCTGATATGTTTTAAGTTAAAAAGTTTGAACATATGTTCAAAATATGAACCATTTATTCTCAGCACGAGCGAGGTGAGAAGTGTAAAGCATCTGGATAGTTGCGTCAAGCTCAATAACGTTGTTATTTTATTTATTTAGCAACGGCAAACAAATTAATTATGTATAGTAAATGAAACTTGAACAGTCCTAATCAGACCAAATCGAATGGCCAGAGACCGTCTCGGGAGGATTGCTACAATTTTTCAGCACGAATATGAATCTTAAAATGCCATCTGAACACCAGGATGTGATCTAGCTTCGTCACAGACAGCTTTTAGCAGTCTTGCACAATTGTAAAGGTGGGCTACATTGCAATAGCCCGTCCATTTGAGACTTACCTTACTGAATGTGCACTAGAGATATACTTCACTGGCTCTACCCTTTTGATCTACCAAAACTGACTGTGCACTTCAGATCTACCTCATTTGGTTGTGCACTTCAGATCTACCTCATTGGTTGTGCACTATAAACCTACCTCGCTGAAAGTGCACTTCAGATCTACCTATAATGACTGTGCCATTCAGATCTACCTCACTGAAGGTGCACTTTATATCTACCTCACTGGCTGTGCGATTTAGATCTACCTCACTAAATGTGCACTTCAGACCAACCTGACTGGCAGTGCACTTTTGATCTATCTCACTGGTTGTGCACTTTTGATCTACCTCACCAACTCTGCACTTCAGACTTACCTCACATACTGTGCACTTTTGATCTATCTCACTGATTGTGCACTTTTGATCTGCATCACTGGCTGTGCACTTCAGACCTACCTCAATTGCTGTGCACTTCAGATCTACATCAATGGCTGTGCACTTCCGACCTACCTTGCTGGCCTTAGCCGACCCCAAGCCATCGGTGTCAAATCGGGTCCTCACGGGATCGGTGAGGTCACCCACACAACCCTCCGAGTACCGTGTCTTGTTCTCATCAGTCACCCACAGTCTGGACACGACACCGGCTTCTGGAATGGAGTTGAGAACATTGGGTTTTGTCGAGCTTCATGACAAGGACAGCCACAAAGGCGTGGCTCGTAGGGAGGGGTATACACGAGCTGGCAACGCTTTCGGAAAAAAAAGGGGGTTGGAAAGGAGGCAGGGGGGTGAGGGGGGGTTTGGGCGAGAATAGTTGGGTTGTGATACAAAAATTCGTCTACTTCCTGTCAACTAAGTTTGGGAAAAGCCAACTTCCGACAATGACATTAGTGGCGAAGTGTGTTTGGCTATTTTCTATTTCTTGTTGTTTCTTTATTTGTCCTGTCTGCCGAGGAAGGCTCTTAGTCACAACATTTTTCTTTTACTGTCCTGTCTTTCTATTTCAAGCTTCCGCGCGCCTTGTTCCGCTGTTTTCTTTGCTGCACTACAAGCTGAAAAACCCTTCATCAATGAAGTAAAAATGCTGCACAGGAAATCATTATAATGACATTATGAGGCCGTAACATTCTTTGATTTACTTTACATGTAAGGGTCTGCGGGCGGGGGGGGGGGGTCGTTTGCAGGGGTCGGCGGGCCGGAGTAAGTAACCCAAATGGAAGGGGGAAAAACGGAGGTAACGAGGGCTCATTTGAAATGTAAAAAATAGGAAATCATTATAATGACATTATGAGGCCGTAACATTCTTTGATTTACTTTACATGTAAGGGTCTGCGGGCGGGGGGGGGGGGTCGTCTGCAGGGGTCGGCGAGCCGGAGTAAGTAACCCAAATGGAAGGGGGAAAAACTGAGGTAACGAGGGCTCATTTGAAATGTATAAAATGGTATAAAGCGCGTCCATTGTTACGACGTAAGTTTTGTCCCGGCAACACACGGCATCTTGCCAGAGTACTAGAGAAACTCGCAGCTGGATGCGTTCAGCCGTGGCTCAGCAGCTGGCCAAACTGTTTGATCTGTAGACTCAAAGAAATCAACAGGTGCAAAGACTTTTCGTGGAAATTTTCAAAAATCTCACCCGAGAAGCCAGTCAAAAAGTCAAAAGACCCTACCTTTGCGGGAAAAAAAGATGTTATACTTTAATGAACATAAAAACAAAGCTGTGGAATCGATTAAAAGACAGTATCGATATTATTCTGTCATCTTAAAGCCCAAGGCGGGCCTAGTCTTTTAGACAACGCCCCTTCCACGGAAAACAAACTTTGCGGTTGCCCAAAATTGCCACCCCTACCAATAAAGACAAAAGTGCCACCCGCGGAGACCTCTACCCCATCGTCCTACGCCACTGCATTACTTTAAAAAAAAAAGGTATTTTGATGTTATAGCTATAAAAAAGGGTCTTTTAATGTTATAGCTTTAAAAAAAGTATTTTGATGTTATAGCTATAAAAAAAGAAGAACAAAATTCCCCTAACCCTGATGTAAGGAATGAGGGAGGCTACTGAAAGTTACTGATTTAATTATTAAATTATAATGGAACACAAACCAATATTTTATTTAAGGATAACAACTTCAAATGTCTACAATATTATTAGTATGCTCTAAACCAGGCCTGCACAACGCAAAATGTAAGGCGGGGCCGTAATACTTTATGAAAAACGTGTGCGGGCCAAAAGAAAATAGGACAGGGGGGAAAGCTGTTAAGAAAATAATAAGAATAAAGATTATTTCGTTACTTAGCAGGCCCCAAAGTGGGTGCTGGCGGGTCGCATGTGGCCCGCGGGCCGTATGTTGTGCAGGCCTGCTCTAGAATCTAGAACAGGGGTCGGGAACCTTTTTGTCTGAGAGAGCCATGGACACCACACATTTTGAAAAGTAATTCTGTGAGAGCCATGCGTTATGTTTAAAACTAAAAATTCAAGAAAATGTGTGCATTTTGTATAATTTCAACACTAAAAATGCAAATAGTTATGTCTCTGAATTCTTTTTTAATAATATTGTTATGCTGTTGCTAATCAATAATGAGTATTTCTTACCATTAATGAGATTTTTTTTTTTATAATCGAACATTTGTCTGAAAGCCAGATGCAGGCATCAATAGAGCCACATCTGGCTCGCGAGCCATAGGTTCCCGACCCCTGATCTAGAACATATTTTGACATTATTTTAACTTATCGACAAACGATGCAAACTTTTTTAATGTAATTTCTTTTTAATGTTCGTTTTAAAAAATGTGGATTATGCCTGCATGGTGCATTTGACGATTTCAAAAAATTTAAATTATGGTAAAAAAATGCCCTTTGAAAAAAAGACTCATAATTTTTCTTTTAAGTAAAAAAAACTCGACTCAAACTTTTATCCAAGCTAAGAGAAAATCTTGTTTGACTTGTGTTTACTCTTTGTACAGGTTTGATTTGAACTGGTATGTCTTCAAGTTTACGTCAATTTAAAAGGAAAGAAAAGTACATTATGTGATTATGTTTTGTAAGCACAGGTGTCTATAAAATAGGGCCTCTTAAATTTTGGGGGGCTCCTCCATTTTAAGGGCCCCAGTAGTCTATAGCGAAATTTCGGCCCCAGTGTATACTTGAATCTAACAAATGAACGGTTCAAGGGAAAAACCAGTGATGTCAGTTTTTCAAAATTTCTATGTTATCTCCCTTGTGGCTACATTCCATTTAATAGAATAATATGATACATAGGTCCAACTGAAAAAGCAGCGTAGACAATAAATAAATACGTAGACATCTTGATATTTTCATACTTCTGTTAGGAATTTTCAAACTTTAAATTCAATTTTCTCAAAACTCTCAAAACCTGACATCACTGGTTTTTCCCGTGAGCCCTTCAAATATATTAGTACACAATATATCGGCCAACATCTAAATCTATTACGGGCCCTTTCGCTGTAGCCAACGACCGGGTTCAAACAAAGAGGGGAGGGGGGGCGTGGTGGTAACGATAATCAAAGTTGAGGACATTTATTGAAATAAAATATATTCAACCTTTGTTTTTTGCAATGCCATATTTTGAACAATGACATGGCTCAGACGTGTACACTTTAAACAGTTGACCGCCAACACCATTAGCCCCCCCCCCCCTCTTTCGCCAACACAATTAGCCGCACGTAACCACTTGTTTAATTTGTTCCTCCCCCCTCCCCCTCCCCCCCCCGTGAACCAGCTCCCCTCTTTCGCCAACACCATTAGCCGCACGTAACCACTTGTTTAATTTGTTCCTCCCCCCTCCCCCTCCCCCCCCCGTGAACCAGCCTCCCAGGCACGCTGACCTATGAGCGAGTAGCAGGTGATGAGACAATTTGTGCACGGGCCGATGGCGTCCATGACAGACTGGCGGACGAACCCGGTGGTGCTGAGCACCTTGAGTGTCCAGTGCGGCTCGGGGAGGTCCTCGCAGTGCGATGACATCATCTGAATCATGGAAGGCTGGAGGCTGGCGATAGTCACCCGCTCCAGGTCTATCAGAGTCCATGTCTGAGGGTGACAGAGGGGGGAAAAAAGGACAAACAATGTTTGTTCAAATTGTTATTATGAGAATCACTGACTGATTACAAAGGGTTAAAATCATCAAAATGACAAGATTTGAACTTGAACATGTTAAGATTTGAAATTAAACATGTCAAGATTTGAACTTGAACATGTTAAGATTTGAACTTGAACATATCAAGATTTGAACTTGAACATGTCAAGATTTGAACTTGAACATGTCAAGATTTGAACATGTCAAGATTTGAACTTGAACATGTCAAGATTTGAACATGTCAAGATTTGAACTTGAACATGTCAAGATTTGAACTTGAACATGTCAAGATTTGAACTTGAACATGTCAAGATTTGAACTTGAACATGTCAAGATTTGAACTTGAACATGTCAAGATTTGAACTTGAACATGTGCTTACAAGATAGCTCAACATATAATATAACGGTAAAACTTGTTCAGTGCATCCTTCTTCTTCAAGTAAGTAGCTCAATGCCAATCATCTAACTCACTGTCGCGGTCAATATATAATGAAGACTAACTGAAAGAGGGATACATTCTATCATTTTAATTTTTCTTGCCATTTTAAGGCATTTGATTTTAAGGCAACAGGTATTTGAATCGAATGTTGCTAAATCTTTTTGTTCAAAAAAAATTATTCTTTCTGGTTCTACATTAAAATGTATGGCATCTTTCCGTCTGCGGGAGACGATAGATTATCTTTATTGCTGGCAGCTCTTGGTGTGGCTGGTGAGTCCAATCCTCGAATGGCAGTCTCTGTTACATTTCCCACACACGAATGCGGTGGAGCAGTATTTACCGGCCTTCCTCCTCGCTCTTTTTGCAGCTGTTTCCGCCCTGTTTTGATCCTCTGCATGCAGTGATCCTGCCTTCACGATGCCCCGCCATGAGGATCGATCCTCTGCCAGCTCCTCCCAGTTTGAGATGTCGATGTTGGCCGATTTCATGCCCCTTTTGCATATGTCTAAGTATCTAACACGAGGCCGTCCAACCGACCTTTTACCTGTCGCCAGCTCGCTGTATAGCACGTCCTTTGGCATGCGACCAGGTTGCATTCGCTTGACGTGTCCAAGCCAGCGGAGGCGTCTTTTGATTAACATGGCTGGGACGCTACACATGTTTGTTTGGACATCCGTGTTGGGGACTTTGTCTTACCATTTAGTGTCAAGGATGTGGCGCAAGCATCTGAGGTGGAAGTCATTGAGCCTTCTTTCGTGGTTAGAGTATGTGGTCCACGACTCGCATCCATACAGAAGTGTGCTCAGTACGCAGGCCTGGTACACCTGCAGCTTAGTTCTTGTTGTGAGTTTGGCGTTTGACAAGACTCTTTTCTTCAGTTTGGCCATAACAGTTGCGGCCTTCCCTATCCTCCCACTTATCTCATCCTCCATTGAGAGGGTGCTCGATATGTTGGATCCCAGATATGTGAATCTGTCAACAGTATCCAAGTCTTAGTCGTCGATGGCGATAGTGGGGAGGGATTCAGCGCCCTGTGCCATAATGTTAGTTTTCTTTAGGCTAATTGTCAGGCCAAACTCTTTGCAGGCAGCGGATAGGCTGGATACGAGGCTCTGCAGGCGTCTGCTGTGTGAGATACCAAAGCGGCATCGTCCGCAAACAAGAACTCCCGCAGCAAGACCTTTCTTGTTTTAGTCTTAGCGCGGAACTACTGATCTAAATAAAAACATTGATATTAGTTTTAGACGGTAGTGAGAGATTAATTATATATCTTATTTGGCGACTTACCTCTCTGACAACTTTCTCTGCCGGACAGTCGGTAAGCGTAGACTTGACCATCGCACATCCGGTGGTGAAATAACAGAACGGTAGCCCGGGCAGCCAGCTGATGGGCCAATCGTTGTAGACCACGTCATCGGGTGTGATGTTGAACATGTCCTCCACGCGGTGGGCGATCTGGCAAAGCTGGGAGTGGTTCCGGAGCACGAGCTTGTAGTGTTCTGTCGAGAACGTTCGTGGGGATTTACACCGCGTCAACCTGTCACTTGTATGCTATGTCTCATACAACTGACCACTTGACAAATATATTCAGTGGCGGGTAATAATGCAAGGCCAGATCCCAGGCCTGCATACATTCCCCTTTTAGATAACCCGAGACCTCACCGCTGAGTAATGTAACACGGTCTTGCACTAGGCTAATAACTCCTTTACAAAAAAAACTATAAAACATTTGTCCTGTCTGCTGAGGAAGGCTCTTAGCCGAAACGTTCTTCTTTTATTGCCACGTCTCTATACTTCAAGCATCCACATTACCTTGTTCCACAATTGCCTTTACACAGCTTTAAATCTCGGTCTTTCATGCAGAGGCGTAACGAGGGTGTCTAGCGCCCGGGGACAAGATTCGAGTCCGGGGACAAGATCCATTTTAAAGCGCCCGTTTTTATTTTTTTTCAACTCTCAAACCCATTATTTTCATTACTAATATAATATCAAAGCACATTTTTGCGCCCCTAACTAGCTGGCGCACGGGGACATCCGCCCCCCCCCTGCCACCCCTCGCTACGCCTCTGCTTTCATGTATTGTCCTTTAAAATAATTAAATGGCCGAAACCTTTTCAAATTAAAACAAAATCTTCATTTCTTGAGTCGTTTCTTTTTCTTTTTCTCTATGTTTGCGTGGGGCCATTTTTTTTTTAAAATTCAAAGTTAACTTACTTTGCGTTGAACATTTGGAGACAAATATGGCTGCCGGGTCATGCGAACACACTCGTTCTTCATAGGAGCCCGGATGAGCCCTGATGAGGTCAAAGGCCGATATGAGATCTTCATCACCATCCTCACGCTTTAAATATATATATACATATATATAATGTTCATGTTTTAGCGTCCATATGAATAAACCTAAGAAATAAATTCAACAGTATGTGCTTTTGTTTATCGGCTGTGAGTTGTTGTTTTTTTTTTAACGCTGGACGAAAATGTTGCAGCATTCAGAACCCAGCCTCGCCAGGTCACAGCGTCACCAGAACACAGTCTCATTAGAAAACAGCTTTATTAGAACACAGCCTCATCAGAAAAGCTTTATTAGAACACAGCCTCATCAGCACACAGTTTGGTCAGCGCCCAGCCTCCCTCACCAGCACCCATCAACACCGCCACCCATCAACACCGCCACCCATCAACACCGGCACCCACCAACACCGCCACCCACCAACACCGCCACCCATCAACACCGGCACCCACCAACACCGCCACCCATCAACACCGGCACCTACCAACACCAACAACAGCACCCATCAACACCGGCACCATCCTCTGCTTAAATTCATGGTAAGTTTATCAACTATCAATGTCACCATGAATGATGCGCATGCTAAGTTTCTGAGCTTCGCTTGTATTACGATAATAATGTGTGCTGGTAACTTGCCTTCGTGTGGTGTTAAATGTCATGATGACTTGCCTTTATGTGGTGTTAAATGTCATGATGACTTGCCTTTATGTGGTGTTAAATGTCATGATGACTGCCTTTATGTGGTGTTAAATGTCATGATGACTGCCTTTATGTGGTGTTAATTGTCATGATGACTGCCTTTATGTGGTGTTAAATGTCATGATGACTGCCTTTATGTGGTGTTAAATGTCATGATGACTGCCTTTATGTGGGGTTAAATGTCATGATGACTTGCCTTTATGTGGTGTTAAATGTCATGATGACTTGCCTTTATGTGGTGTTAAATGTCATGATGATTGCCTTTATGTGGTGTTAAATGTCATGATGACTGCCTTTATGTGGGGTTAAATGTCATGATGACTGCCTTTATGTGGTGTTAAGTGTCATGATGACTTGCCTTTATGTGGTGTTAAATGTCATCATTACTTGCCTTTATGTGGTGTTAAATGTCATGATGACTGCCTTTATGTGGTGTTAAATGTCATGATGACTGCCTTTATGTGGTGTTAAGTGTCATGATGACTTGCCTTTATGTGGTGTTAAATGTCATGATTACTTGCCTTTATGTGGTGTTAAATGTCATGATGACTGCCTTTATGTGGTGTTAAATGTCATGATGACTGCCTTTATGTGGTGTTAATTGTCATGATGACTGCCTTTATGTGGTGTTAAATGTCATGATGACTGCCTTTATGTGGTGTTAAATGTCATGATGACTTGCCTTTATGTGGTGTTAAATGTCATGATGACTGCCTTTATGTGGTGTTAAATGTCATGATGACTTGCCTTTATGTGGTGTTAAATGTCATGATGACTACCTTTATGTGGTGTTAAATGTCATGATGACTTGCCTTTATGTGGTGTTAAATGTCATGATGACTGCCTTTATGTGGTGTTAATTGTCATGATGACTGCCTTTATGTGGTGTTAATTGTCATGATGACTGCCTTTATGTGGTGTTAAATGTCATGATGACTGCCTTTATGTGGTGTTAAATGTCATGATGACTTGCCTTTATGTGGTGTTAAATGTCATGATGACTGCCTTTATGTGGTGTTAATTGTCATGATGACTGCCTTTATGTGGTGTTAAATGTCATGATGACTGCCTTTATGTGGTGTTAAATGTCATGATGACTTGCCTTCATGTGGTGTTCCAGCCTAAACTTAAACACCTTCTGGAGCTGGGGGTAGTCAGTGTTACCGGAGCGTTCTATGTCGGCGCCACTCGGGCCGATGTCATCCTTGAGCTGTAGGAGAGACGAGACATTAAAAGAATGCTAACAATAGAACGGGTTGTTTCCCCCGACATTTAACCCGTGGAACTTTTGGGTGACTTATTATTGATCAAGCGGATTAATTAAGTATGTTATGGGTTAGACGTTATCTCCACACTTACTTCCCCTTCTCCACACATACATGACCTTCAGTGGCGTAGCTAAAGGTTAGTGTCCCCCGGTCAGTGGCATAGCGAGGGTGTTTGGCGCCCGGGGACAAGATTCGCGCCCGGGGACAAGATCCATTTTTAGCACCCCTTTTTCTTATTTTCAACTCTCAAACCAATTATTTTCATCAATAAAATAATATCAAAGCACATTTTGGTGCCCCTAACTAGCTGGCGCCCGGGGACATCTGCCCCCCTGTCCCCACCACGCTACGCCTCTGCCCCCGGTGCGGTCCGCCGCCCCCCCCCCCCAATCCGCAGCTTCGCCACTGTGACCTACCATTTTCCATCCTGGTGAATCATCTGTTGGCTCAACAACGATGTACCTCACATTGGCCTGTACTATAGGTGTCCAAAAGTGATGGCCGCTCTCCAAAATGACGTCACCAAGCATGACTATGGCTCCTGGCGCGGAAAGAGTGGAACATTGACTGCGTTTGAATGAACCCAGCGGAATTTTGTGACAATATTCACGTCTATTTAAAAATTGCAAAATCAATGAACTTTTAATTTCAAAAACAAGAACGGGGGGGGGGGGAGGAGAATAAAAATTGACATCCATCATGATGTTACAAATAACAATTCTCTCGTATATGTATGGGGGTACCGCTGTGTTCAAAGGGGCACACAATAACATGACTCGAAGTTAGCGCACAGAGGGTTCTTATCAAACGCGCTACTTGAATGCATCTACGTTTAGTCAAGTCAGTTTGGCCAATGGGAAGATCACGCATTGTCGCCCCTGTTGTTCGGCTGGTTATCTTCCCCGGGCGACACGGTTTCCGAATTTTTTAAATTTTTTTTGGAGGGTCACAATGCGGTGTCTCCCGGATGATACCCTAGCCGGAGTTGTTTGGGTGGAATGTCTCTTTTGACAGGCAGGCTCAAGATGAGTGGCTGATCCTGGTGTTGACGCTGTTGCTAGCTACAGCAGGTTCCCCCCCCCCCCTTTCTCATAAGGAGATGTGACGTGACAATTGCCAAATAGAGTGGGTTAGCATTGAACAAAATGGACCGAATTTCACGATCTTTCAAATCGTTTCTACAAGAGAAATGGGCATCGTGAAAATGCTGGACTTGGCACAAACGACCAGGGTGGAGACTGGGGGGGGGGGGACGATGGTCCCACAACAGTACAATAGATGAGGGAAATGCTAGCCTGACATCGGCAGAATTTATAGTATTATAGGGGGAGACATGATATCTTGGGAAAAGGGAGACTCCGGGTAGACAGTGTGGGAGCGGGTACCACCAATGTTTTCGATTAACAAATTTTAGTTAGCAGGTGGAAGTGGAATGTTCACGCAGACCAGGGGTAGAGTTAGATTAATGATCAGTAATGGAAAATGCCTCAACGTGACAGCTGCTAATAGGTGGGTGGGTAGGGACATGGAATGGACGTCCGGGGGTAAAGTGATCTGGTCGGGGAATGTTTTCTTTAATGATGTAGCAGTTCAATGACCGTCAGGTGGTTATCTAGTAGAGGTTAGAGTCACACGAGGGGTAAATATAAGGGGGAAGTTTTTGAGACAGCGGGTGAGTAGCGTTAGAGATTCGTGGACGGTCATTCGGAAGTGACTGACGTAGTGTTCCCAGCTGTAGTTAGAATATAGACAATATTGGATTCTATTATACTGAAATAATACATCTTTCATTTATAATTGTTACGGAGGAGTTGCTTGGTCATTTCATTAGTGTTGTATGTTTTCTTTGTTGTAATTCTGAACGCCTGGACTAGTGAACCATCACAAAGAAGGGCGGCCCCGTATTAGTCGCACCAATTCCAATACCACTTGGTACGTGACCATAAGTACGGGCCATATCCTCACAATACCATCGCTCTTGTGACAGTAATGTTATGTTGGATACTTCAAATGTGTATGTAATGTGAGCGCTATAAAGACACACATATAAAAGAAACACGAAGGAAGCCAACAGCGGAGTATGGGGGAGTATCACTGATAGCCATTCCGGCTTGCGAAAAGCGTTAGACATGGGAGCCCAACAGTCATAGAATGTGGTGGAAATGGGAAACCCAACAGTCATAGAATGTGGTGGAAATGGGAAACCCAACAGTCATAGAATGCGGGGGAAATGGGAAACCCAACAGTCATAGAATGCGGTGGAAATGGGAAACCCAACAGTCATAGAATGCGGTGGAAATGGGAAACCCAACAGTCATAGAATGTGGTGGAAATGGGAAACCCAACAGTCATAGAATGCGGTGGAAATGGGAAACCCAACAGTCATAGAATGCGGTGGAAATGGGAAACCCAACAGTCATAGAATGTGGTGGAAATGGGAAACCCAACAGTCATAGAATGTGGTGGAAATTGAAGCACAATAGTCATATAATGTGGGAAACGAAGTCTTTTCAGAAAATAATGCAAAACTGAATAATTGCAGCCGAGACTGCCCCTACAGGTTCGGCCAAATCTTCCACTACAAGGCAGTGATTATTTCAGAAATTCTTTCCCGGGTGGGGACTTTAGATTTTTCGTGGGGGAGGGGGGGGGCAGTGCAAACAGTGCCAGTTGATTTATTGTTGGACATATTTTTGCTCGGGGGGGGGGGCACTTGGCTTTCCCCGGTGGGGGGCAGTACCCCCCTCCCGGAGATATAGCTGAAAGAAACCCTGCTACAGTGTAAGCTGAGACTGCTACTACAGGGTAAGCTGAGACTGCTACTACAGGGTCAGCTGAGACTGCCACTACAGGGTAAGCCGAGACTGCTACTACAGGGTCAGCTGAGACTGCCACTACAGGGTCAGCCAAGACTGGTACTACAGGGTCAGTCGAGACTGCTACTACAGGGTCAGCCGAGACTGCTAAAACAGGGTCAGCCGAGACTGCTACTACAGGGTCAGCCGAGACTGCTACTACAGGGTCAGGCGAGACTGCTACTACAGGGTAAGCTGAGACTGCTATTACAGGGTCAGCTTAGACTGCCACTACAGTGTCAGCCGAGACTGGTACTACAGGGTCAGCCGAGACTGCTACTACAGGGAAGCTGAGACTGCTACTACAGGGTCAACCGAGACTGCTACTACAGGGTCAGCCGAGACTGCTACTACAGGGCAAGCTGAGACTGCTACTACAGGGTCAGCCGCGACTGCTACTACAGGGTCAGTCGAGACTGCTACTAAAGGTCAGCCGAGACTGCTACTACAGGGTCAGCCGAGACTGCTACTACAGGGTCAGTTGAGACTGCTACTACAGGGTCAGCCGAGACTGCTACTACAGGGTAAGCTGAGACTGCTACTACAGGGTAAGCTGAGACTGTCACTATAAGGTCGGCCTTATAAGTCACTCATCGAGGTGCGAGACTATCACTTCAGGTTCGGCCTCATAAGTCAGTGGTTCTCAATATTTTGGATGTCGGGGAACACTAACCTATTTTTTTTTTTTTTTTTTTTGCGCGGAACTCTTATTTTAGCACACAAAAAAAAAACAGTTTGTTGTCGACGTACCCAGTCCTAGACCACTTTAAACTTTGGCATAGCCTCGAACCACGAATCTTGAGCCAGTCACTTAATTTTATTTAATTTAAAAAATCGAATCCATACCCTTATTGGAAATTAGCGCGATAAACCACATTTGACTGATCCGAATTCAAATGTGAACTGCACAGGCACACATATGCGGAGATGGACCAACAAAAATGAATTGTCACTCGCGTTTGCTGTTTACAGTCCCATACAAATATGATTTTTACATTGTGCTGATTTTTCTTTTTCAACAATTTTTAATTGCGTATTAATCAAAAAAAGATTATTGCGGAACACTTAAAGTTGCTTCGCGGATCGCCAGTTTTCCCGTGGAGCACGGATTCAGAACCACTGTTTTAAGTCACTCATGAAGATGCAAATAAACAGAACCTAAAAAATCGTCCTACGAAGACGACATGATGCCAACGGTTGACTGTGATTTATGGGGTGGGGACAGGTACCCCCCCCTCTAAGGGCACTCTCCAGATTTATTTGCTGCTGGTTTGTTTTGTTTGGGTTCAACTTCAACTGTTAAAATACAACAACAACACCCTACTGGCTCTCCGAAGAAATCAAATGGGCCGCGTACCGGCTAAAATGATGCCGAAGTTGGTGACTTCTTTCTCCAAGCTGCTGGACAAGAGGTTGCAGACGACATCTCCTTTCCTCACCCCGTGACTTCTCATCAGGGACGAGCACTTCATGGCCAGCATCTGAATCTCCTGGTTCTTCAAGCTCATCCTCCTGTCGTCATCATCGTAGAAGATGATGGTCTCTGTAGGTTTGGGGGTGGGGGGGGGGGGGGGGGGGGGGGAATAAATAAAAGGTAATTGATCACGTGATCTCTTTATGTTACAAGGGCGATTTTTAAAAAAAATAAAAGGTAGTTTAGCTCATCCTCCTGTCGTCATCATCGTAGAAGATGATGGTCTCTGTAGGTTTGGGGGTGGGGGGGGGGTGGGGTGGGGGGAATAAATAAAAGGTAATTGATCACGTGATCTCTTTATGTTACAAGGGCGATTTTTAAAAAAAATAAAAGGTAGTTGGTCACGTGATAGTAGAACTGTATACACGAGCCTGTTCTTAATTATTTCAGTGTTTATTACTCTATGTTTGTTTATTATTTTAATATAGAGCTATAAACAGATTTATTGAACTTATTTTTGCGTGAAACAAAGCTCTCAGTTTCGTGTTGTAGAGCACCAATCTTGAGTGCTGCAAAGAACGGTTCCATGTTCGCGCTAAAATTTCATATTCAACTCATTTTAACCTCCTTTTATTATTTCGTATCTAACCGAACCTGTTGCTAGTTTTTGTAGTGACGCCACGAATACAGATTTGTTTTTTTAAATCATATTCCGGCTCTAAAGTCATGCTCTGCAATCCTTCATATGGAAATGATGACTCTAATTTACAACACGAATCCGTTAGAATCAAGACCTCAACCAAGATCTCAACCAAGATCTCAACCAAGATCTCAACCAAGACCTCAACCAAGACATCAATCACTATCTTAACCAAGACCTCAACCAAGATCTCAACCAAGACCTCTGACCTTTCTCTGGATGACTCTCCCAAACAGAGCGAAGTTTGCCACTGATGGTCCTGTAGTTGATGTCAGGGCGGGGATCGATGAAGGGACGGCTTAGTTCAGAGCAGATCATGGCTGCAGCAATGAGAAGAAATTAGTGTTAGAGATCATGGCTACAGCAATGAGAAGAAATTAGTGTTAAAGATCATGGCTACAGCAATGAGAAGAAATTAGTGTTATAAGATCGTGGTTACAGCAATGAGAAGAAATTAGTGTTAGAGTTCATGGCTACAGCAATGAGAAGAAATTAGTGTTAGAGATCATGGCTACAGCAATGAGAAGAAATTAGTGTTAGAGTTCATGGCTGCAGCAATGAGAAGAAATTAGTGTTAGAGATCATGGCTACAGCAATGAGAGGCAAGTAGTGTTAAGAGCTTATGGCTACAACAATGAGAGGCAAATAGTGTTAACCATACCTGTATGGCGTTTGATACACTGTACCAGATTTTCAACAATAAATAAAGCAAATCTTTTGACGTATGCTATGAAGTTTGAAGGGTTTGTTCCGCCCCCGCTCCCCCCCCCCCTTCCCCCAACTCTATTTCTAAATGTCAATCTGTTTGTGTTTCATTCGTCCCAGTCCAGCCTGAGATTTTACTTAGGATTGATGATGGAATATCTGATAGAGAACAATTTCTGTGGAGATCCTGATGAGAGGCATGATGTGTGTATTACGAAATGGGACAGTAAGTAGGCAACTGAAGCATGATCATATTATTACAGTTAGTAGGCAACTGAAATGTGATCATACTGTTACAATAAGTAGGCAACTGAAACGTGATCATATTATTACAGAAGTCAGTAAGTAGGCAACTGAAACGTGATCATACTATTACATTAGGAAGGCAACTGAGACGTTATCTTACTATTAAATTAGGAATTAGGAAGGCAACTGAGACGTGATCATACTATTACATTAGGAAGGCTACTGAGACGTGATCTTACTATTACATTTGGAAGGCAACTGACACGTGATCTTACTATTTCATTAGGAAGGCTACTGAGACGTGATCTTTGTATTCCCCATCTCAAAACTTGAATTTAACAAGTAACTAACCCATGTTTTATAATCGATGTTGACACACTTATTAAATATAGCTCACCTTAACTTAGATATAACTGTTTTCTACCGCTCTCGGTTGCATACAGTATAAGAACCCAATTATTATGATTACTATGCCATATTTTTAGTTGGCAATCATGAGAAAATTCCTTCTTTTTTAAAAAAACAAACAAACTCTTGGATGCATCTATTTCCGGACATGCAAATATGACGTCATCAACTTGGCAGGCGGTGGCATTATCATTAATGTGTTTCAACTGGAATAAATAAGTTAAGTTTCATGTGGAAACAAAAGGCAACAGCTATCCTGGAAGAAAAAAAAAACTGTACAAGGAAGAGTTGTGTCAAAGTTATGTCAGAAGTTCAAGAAAACATTCAAATTTAGGATTCACTTGGACTTGGTATTGTTGGTACACATCAATAAAATATAAATAACGTTGGAATTCGACGGTGCCAAACTAACGTTGTGCTTACATTTTAAGGACAGTTTCAGAGATTTTGTGTTTCTAAACAGTGGTTCTCAAAGTGGGTGTTATCGTATTTCCAGGGGACTTTTGTGGAGCCCAAGGGCACTGAAAGATTTTGGAGATTTAATGGGGCGCTGGAAATCATATTGTAAATATGATTTATAATTAAACATTTTAAAGAAAGATATGGGGGTCGTCCATTAATTATGTTAACAAAATAATAGGGAAGGGGTTTTGAAATATTTGACAATTGTTGACAAGGGTGAGTGGGGGGGGGGTAGCTTAGTGGACGTCAACAAACATATTTTCTCTATTAAAATTTTAAATTATTTTAACAAATTTAATGAGTATAAATTAAAATAGTTATATAATTTTTAGGCTTTTAACAATATAAGATTTATTTAATGTGTGTCTGTCTGTGCACTGCAAATAGCTGGTCAGAATGGTAGCACACTTTGCTAGTGCAAGAGAAGTCAAAAGTTGGCCTCTCTTCACCTGTAGATTCTGTTTGTCGCAAAAGACTAGGTCGGTACGTTTGCGATCATGTTGCAGGTATGGAACGAGGACAAGGTTCAAGAGTCATGTGCACTCAAGATAAATGATATTGATAGAGTAGAAATATTGATAAGTATGTGAATGTAAAGTGAGTAACAATAATAACATCGCTGCTTGAGCGGATTTGCAAAATCAGTAAAATCTATTTTGCATCACAAGTCATGTTGAAATAGAAAATTCAACAGCTGCGAAAATATATAAGAAATTACCACCTGCTCCTCAACAAAAAAGGATTCGACCAATGCAAGAAGCTGCCAGATGACAGAGAGAGCTTATGGCAATGATTGCTCACACAGACAATGCTTCTATTTTAAGTGTTGAATAGTTGGATGAGGATGATGTTGACTTGTCTGGTATATCATTTCCGCAAGATAAAAATGGTAAATCAGCTACTATTCCCATTGTTACCATAGAGCAACACCTGGGTACTACCTGGGAAGATGATGGCAGCTAGAAACTGTGCTACGATTGTCAGCTATACTAATCATATTTCTAGTTCCACAAACAAACAATGATATTTACTCTTTAACAACCCTTTCATTGATTCTGCATTATACAATTTAAGTGTAAAGACTTTGTAACTTGTTGATTAACAAGCTAAAGATGCAATAAAAGGTTTTTCCTACAATTTTGTGTTATTGAAATAGATCAGCACAAAGTCAAATGTATTGATAGAGTTATTTATATTATAATTCATTTTCTTTTTTTGGGGGGTATACAAATGTTGACATAATTACTTAACCGTGTGGGGGAGAGGGGGGGGGGTCATTGAAAGTTTGACAGTTGTTGACAAGGAGGAGAGGCTCAAAAATTACTTTAAAATTGTTGACGTAGTTAATGGATGCCCCATAACTTACCCTACTGTTTTGAATGTCGGCATCAAAGAATAGTCGAGAACAGAAAATGTGAATCATAGTATCCACACACAACGAAAGGTCTTTGATCTTAATTTTTTTTTTTAAACTTGTAACAGCAGGCAGTAGTTACAAATTAGCAAATACATTTGCTCTTTTCAGTCTTAGTTAAGTACTATGAGCTGGCAGAACTTAGTTGTACCTAATGGGACGACCATTAAAAAGGTGTGGGTGGCGAATTTCGCGTAGGTACATCATCGCACATGATGTTTCAAGTGATTCACAATTTTAAAAATTATAACTGAAAAAGGAAAACTCTTTATGCAGCTGTGTAGTCGTAAAATAAGTAATCCAAAATTATTTATTTATAAAAAAGATTTAAAAAATCACGGGTAAATTCTGTTTTATTTATGTGTATTAGCCTATATTCAATTGTTAATATTTCTAAAAAGGTAAACTTGGTTGAACTGTTGATTTTTAAACTATTTATGAACTGTTGATAAACCATGCCAGCCAATCAGTCAGACACAACCCTTTCAATGTTTACTTGTGTTGACAACCATGCCAGCCAGTCAGTCAGACGCAACCCTTTCAAGGTTTACTTGTGTTGACAACCATGCCAGCCAGTCAGTCAGACACAACCCCTTAAAGGTTTACTTGTGTTGACAACCATGCCAGCCAGTCAGGCAGACACAACCCCTTCAAGGTTTACTTGTGTGACTTCCAGCAGTAGTGACAAGGAGGAAAAGCAATTATTTTCTTGTGGTTTTTGTTTTCACTCCTGCAACATTCCAGCCATATGAAGTCTAGATATGCCAGGTAAGGCATTTCTTGTGGAATACATTTTGTAGAATGTTTTAAATTTAAACATAATCCTAACATTAAAAGCCAGCAGTTATGAATTGGTTTAACATTTTTTAAATTAAATATAGGTGTAATCTGTATAACAGTATTCTCACAAAACAATCATCGTACATTCACAAACACACACACTGACAAATGTGAAAGCCTTCATTTTCAAAAGCATCAACATAACAAAACAACAGAGGCAATAACTCATCAAATCAGCTATTGATGTAAACACATTGAGAACTATAAATACAAAACTCAAATGACTTAAGTATAAGATTAATGATCTCAAATTGATGACCAAAAAAAAAAGCCAATCATTTTAGCCAACTGATTGACCCAACTGAAATTAAACAAAACTGATTTTTGTCATTTAACAAAATAACTATCAATACATTCTTTATACAAGTGTTTTAACGTTACCTAAACTGTTAGTCCAGATTTTTAGTGAAAGGGAACTTTATCATAGATAAATGCATGTAAATTTGTGCCATGATTAGTAATAAATGCAGTAAATAATTCACATCAAAGTGTAGTTAAAATAAACATAATTGAATTTTTGTCTCGTACTAATTCACACTGCAAGTCAGGGGAAATGATTAATTTTTAACATATTCTCAAGGTAGGGATTAATGCTGGATGATACAATTTGAGACTTGCTGACACAACCTCCTGATGACATTCTCACTGGAAAAAATAACCGATGGAAAAAACAAAAAAGCAGTGCCGCATCCAAAACAGATCATCGCAGAGGATCCAGTATATCAAAGCAGCCCGTCCCAACACCGACAACCTTTCCGACAATCAGGCTAGCGCTGGGAGATTTTAAACTGTCCACGCTGCCCAGCACGCAGGCATCCAGCAAGAAGTTCATTGTGGTCTCAAAGGTCATCTTCTGGAACGGGGAGGTGTTGTACATGAAATCTCGTCGGTTGAAGGCATCGTACTGCCCTCGTGATGTCATGTAGTCGGCCAACAGAGAGAGGTGGTGGTAGTCGACAGTGATGCCGTAAGCACCAAACACATTTTGGATTTCCTATAGGAAAAAAAAACAGCAATGTCCACTTATATTGATTAAATACAGACACAAGCAATGGTTCAATCATATTGCTATATAATAATAATAATAAAGATTATTTAAAAATCACGCTTCATCCCCAAAGGCTCGAAGCGCGGTACATACCACATTGACGTACAAATATACTTATATAGACAATGCCCAGTTGTTTAAATTAAATATAAAATTACGGAAAGTTGCCTCCAATGTTATAGATTCTTCACCCTGATAATAAGACATTTTATTCTTTAAAAATGTGTTTAAAACAAAATGGTTGAACACATTTTTAACTCTTCCAGAGTGTCTTTGAGTGTTTGAATATTTACATAAAAACAGCTGAAATCTGTAAAAACTACACCATCCCTATAAGCTAAGTTGACAAACCTTTATGATGACTCTATTGGCTGCCTCAATGCCGTACACTTGGGCTATAGTATGGATGCAGTTGGAGTAGATTTTGTCCAAGTCAAGAGTCTCTGGATATTTGAACATTTCCTAACACGGAAAATAAAAACATACACAAATGAACAATGCTTGGTCAACAATAATTAACCATAAGGGAATTCAAACAACAGGTCAATAGATTGAATATTAAATATCTAGAAATGATTGGTAGAGGCGATTTTAAAAACAACATGGGGGAAAATTGGTAGATGATATTTTGAAATATGATTCACTTCACAAGAAGACAAAACAAGACCATAGGATTTTTGTTCCTATGCTAAAGCAAACAACACAGGATAAGACAAAATCAGTTTTGTTCCTATGCTAAAGCAAACAACCCAGGATAAGACTAAATCAGTTTTGTTCCTATGCTAAAGCAAACAACCCAGGATAAGACTAAATCAGTTTTGTTCCTATGGTAAAGCAAACAACGCAGGATAAGACAAAATCAGTTTCGTTCCTATGCTAAAGCAAACAACGCAGGATAAGACAAAATCAGTTTCGTTCCTATGCTAAAGCAAACAACGCAGGACAGGACAAAATCAGTTTCGTTCCTATGCTAAAGCAAACAACACAGGATAAGACAAAATCAGTTTTGTTCCTATGCTAAAGCAAACAACGCAGGATAAGACAAAATCAGTTTCGTTCCTATGCTAAAGCAAACAACACAGGATAAGACAAAATCAGTTTTGTTCCTATGCTAAAGCAAACAACACAGGATAAGACAAAATCAGTTTTGTTCCTATGCTAAAGCAAACAACACAGGATAAGACAAAATCAGTTTTGTTCCTATGCTAAAGCAAACAACGCAGGATAAGACAAAATCAGTTTTGTTCCTATGCTAAAGCAAACAACACAGGATAAGACAAAATCAGTTTTGTTCCTATGGTATGCCAAACAAGACACGATAGATAGTCAAATATTTGTTCCTCTTACCTGTATGTTGACCCCTTCAGTTTTTAAATGTAAAACAGTTTCTCCATTTTCTTTTTCCTCTGACAAAAATGCCTGATTAATACCCTTGACCTGGTGCAAGACAGCACTCTGGATTGTTTTTTTTAGCAGCATTCGTACATCAAGTTGGAGCCGGCTCTGCTCATACTAGGTTCAAATTAGGGAAAGTTATTAAGGCAAAGTTATTAAGGCTTTGCTGTTTACCAATTTTTTTTCTCTTAAGCATTATCAGAGGTTTTAAATAAAACATATCTATCAAGCAACTTTTAAAGAAAACCAAGAAAAATACTAAATAATTTTAATTACCGGTATCCATTTTTGTGTGTAAGTGTAATAACTAAGTTGAATAGCTGTCATTTCCAGATGGAACTAAATCAACTCTTGTTATACATTGTGACATATCCCTGAATTTTTTTTGGTTCCGATTCTAACATTTTGCTAATATTTGAAAACAGGTAAACTAAGCATCCTATTAATTTTTGAAAGATAAAAAATAAAAGTGTCCCTGAGGCTAAGCTGTGCACCCAATTTCAGCTCTGAAAAGTTCATCTGTTAAATAGCATTTGATGGTGATAGCCAAACCAAAAATTTATGAATAGTTTATATAAACATCACCCATTTGAAGCTAATATAAAGCTGGTCGTAGACCAGAAGTCTTATCATTTTAAAAACTTGTTCAAAGATATGAACATAATCTTTTTTCAAATAGGATGCCACATATATAAAGATATTGTTATTTTAAAAGGTACTTGGCATTTAGATTAATTAAGTACCCCAAAGAAGCAAGCATTTGAGACCCACTTACCGAGAAGGTGATCTCACACGACCTGTATTTCTTTTCATCCATTTTAAATTCATGAACAAAACCGTGCATCAATGCCTGAATCAAAATGTATAAATTTGTTATTTACTAAGACATTTTAATAATACTTTATCTAATGTAAGGAATGCTACTCAACAAGTTCAAATTTTTAAATCATTTTATTTTTATCTCAATGTAAGCAGCAGATTATTTAATAGAAATAGTCTATATCAGTGGTCGGCAAACTCATTAGTCAAAAGAGCCAAAATCAGCAGCAGGACGATTAAAAAATTTTTGAGAGCCAAATTTATTTTCAAGAACCATGTTTTTCAGAGTCAAAACCAATTTGTGGCCCACTGGCCGAGCCGCACTCAGGTCGCTAAAGTACTGCATGCGGCGAGCGGCGGTTTGCCGACCACTGGTCTATGGTAAAGAAAGTTACACATATTTCTGTTGTGATATTGTGTTAGTCAATTTTTTTTGTTGGGATACCGTGTCAATCATTCGAAAAATGTGCCACACTTTTTTAAAACATAGCACTTACTTGAGTGACCAAGTCATTGCCTTCTTTGGTGACCAAGTCATTGGCTTCTTTTGTCATCTCTTTCTTACTGGCCTTTTCCACATCACTGTTGTTTGAAGCATCCTCATCGCTCTCGCTGCTTTCCTTATCACTTTCACCACTGTCATTGTCTTGATAGGAAAATTAAAAGTTACAAAGCCAGTGGCACGTGCTCTCTAAGTAACTATAGGGGATTTTATTCTTCGAATGTTGCACAATAATTTTTTTGGTATGAAAAACAGATTTGGTTTGCAATGATCAATACATAAAGGAAATTAAAAATGTTTAAAAATCATTTTTTTTACTATGATATGTACAGTAAAACTGAAAACTGAAAAGCCTAACATCATCAAGAAGTAAACATCCTGAAGACAAGAGAGAAAAACAATGCATTGCCTTACCTTCAATTTGTACTTCCTTCTGCTCCTCTTCCTCGCCTTCATACCCTTGCGTATCCTGCTGCCTCAGTTGCTCTTTCACAGCAGTGGCATCTCCATCGTTTGCATCTATGTCCAGGTCTTCATCAGCGTTGATAGTTTTAGCATTCCCGTCCACTTTGTTTTCAGCCCCCTCCCCTTCCTTATCGGCTGTACGCCGCAGTCGACCACTGGATAGCAAACTGCAAAACACAACAATCAAAATGATTTAGTGAAAACTTTAAGCTCTTCATCTGTGACTCACAGGATGTCTTCAACAATTTCTTGGGAAGCAAGTTATTATTTAATTCATTGTTTCTACACAGAAGAGGGTTTCCTGCATCACCATTGCAGATTGCCTTGTTGCATTGTAGCCAGTGACAGCTGCCAGGACGAGACTTTCTCAACTTTATTTTCACTGTGAACAGAAACTCAAAATAACCGTGGTCCTGAAGGCCAACTACAGTTGAGTTACTGTTGGGGTGATAATTCCTGTGCAACTGCAGGGTCAATTCCACCCACCAGACTGTTTCAAATGGCCTGGATCTTGGTAATTATGCATTTCAACCTTCTTTTGCAGATATTTATTTTAAGTGAATTAATTTCTTGAAAAGTTACATGCATGAGTTTGTTTGGGGTCGTTCGCAAATTATGACATGCTCCGGGGGTTGGCGGGGGGTTTGGTGATGTCACAAAATAAAAAAAAAATAAAAATCTAAAATTTTCTAACTTTGAAAAATCTTTCCATCATTTAAGTTGGGTGTCGAGAACTTATCACATTTATTATTATTATTATTAGTGGGGATTAGTGGTTTATATAGCACGGTACCCCAGCCTGGGGGTAAGCTGTGTCGACACATGAATTATGGGGAAAATTATCAAGGGATACTTACGAGGCTCTCTCTAAAATTGTGTTTTCCTTGGTGACGTTGTTGTCTACCATTACTACAAAGTGTTTGACAACAAACTTCATGATGGTCTTGGGCGTGAGATTTGTGAATTCCTTGTAGTTTCGATGTGGCAGAAATTTTATTCTGGCCTCAAACATCTTTGAGTTGCCCCTAAATAAATAAAATAAAACACAAGGAAAGGAGAAAAGATTTAAATTTGAGTATGTGTAAAAAAAACAACACAATATCACAGAATCCTATAATGAATAAGAAAGGCTTTAGGATAAATTTTCAGTATAAGCCAATTGTTTATATTTACTACATTAGAAATCAAATGTAAAAAAAATATGAGAAGACTGTCGAAGAAAGGAACAAGGCACAAATGACCATGATACAAAAAGGAAACCAGAAAGGTTAGACAAACATATAATGAAGCCAGAAGGAAAGCCACAAAAATGTGTAAGAAGAAATAATGGGAATGGAAAAAAGCTTAACTAAAAGAAATAGAAGACTTATCAAGAGAGGGAAATACCAGAGTAATGTACATGAAGATAAAAGACAAAAATAATGGATACCAAGCCAGGCCTCAAATGTGTAAGAGCCATGGGCTGAATATTGAGGGCATACTAAATGCAGAAAATGGACAAGATGAATATTATCAACCACCAAATGGAGGACCAGACCATTCAATAAACTCCTCAACTTTGGAAGAAATGTCAGGAGTAATCAATTCTATGAAAAACCACAATGCCCCTGGAGAAGACCTCACCACAACAGAACTCATTAAATATGGAGGAAGAGCACTACACACTCAAGACACAACTAAAATTTAAAACTAAAATTTGGCAAGAAGTGAAAATTCTAACAGAATGAGAAACAACACTAATAACCAAAATAATAATACAAGAAAATTTCTAACTTCAATACACAAACTAGAGATGAATTTCCTTATTGAATGTTACATACAAAATACTGACAAAACTAAAAGACTACAACCATACACTGAACAAATACTAAGTGAGTACCAATGTAGATTCAGACAAAACAGATCAATGGCTGATCAGATTTTCACCGTTAGATGCCTATTAGAGAAATGTTACGAATATTATATCCCAAATCACTAACTCTATGTGGACTATAAGATGGCCTATGTCAGCATCAAAAGAAACTATGTATATGAGACTCTGCAGGAGTTTGGCATACCCAACAAATTGACAAGACTGTTACATGTAACATTAAACAACCCAAAAAGCAAAATCAAGGTTCAGGGAGAAAATTCAAGGGAATTTCAGATTAGATAAGGAGAGTCACTGTCTTGTATGCTATTTAACATAATGTTAGAGAGAGTTATAAGAAACATACATATTGAACTCTTAGGCACAATAACAGGCTACTTTCTGAGAGAAACCCAAGACCCACAACCAATGGGCACTCTCTACAATCAACCCTTTCAGTATCTTGCATATGATGATGACACAGCACTGTTTGGTAAAAGTAGTAAAGATATATCAAAAGCCTTTATTGAATTAGCAGACGTGTCACTACAAGCAGGACTGGAAGTTAAGAAAAGAGAAGAAAAGACAGATGAAGCCATTAAAATTAGAAACCACACTTTTGAAAAAGTAAATTAATTCAAATATCTAGCATCTTTATTAAATAAAAGAAATGAATTAACAAAAGAAAGAAAAAGAAAGCATATTTGCCAGAAACAGGGCATACTTTAGTAGTCAGAAAATACTCAAAAGTAAAAATATGACAAGAAAAAGAAAGAAAACTATATATAAAACTGTATTCAGACCAGTTGTAACATGCGCAAATGAAACTTGGACCCTAACGAAAATGGCAGAAAAACTATTAAACACATAGGAAAGAAAAGTTCTCCGGAAAATATATGGATCAACAAAGGATGAATATGGATGGAGAATACGCACAACCAGGTATTGTATAGACTATATCAGGATCCCACGCTAGTAGCAGAAATAAAAACAAGGCTGGATACTTAGAAAGGATGCTAAATGACAGAGGAGTGAAGAGGGTGCACCACCAAAGCCCCAGAGGTAAAAGGGCTCAAAGGCAGACCTTGGCTTTGGACAGTGTGGAAAAAGATCTACAGCAGCTGGGAATCCAAGCATGGAAAAGCATCAGTTAGGTCTGAGTGGAAGGAAGTGGTGAAGCAGGCCAAAGCCCTCCCTATATGGATTGTAGTGCCACAGGGATGGATGGGTGAAAAAACTATATTTAATAGCATTTGCATATTTGATCAAATGTTCAGTTACACTTAAATAATCAAGCCTAACATTTTTTGCTAGATTTGTAATAACTTTATAATTTTTTTTGTTGTTTTCACACTTATTAGTTATTAGTTGTGTATTCACTTACAAATTAGATCCGTTATTTGAGCACGTGGAATAAATCTTCACCTTGACATGCTCTACAACCTACAGTTGGGAATAGACCAGAGATCACTATTTCAAACATTTGTGGGTTAAACTCATCGGGCGATTCCAAATAGCCAAACATTTTAATTGCTTATAATAAGTTACCCAAGAATTGTTTTGTACTTCTTTGACAGCTGAGACAAGGTCCACAGTGAGAGTTACAAAACAACTAGCCATATATATTAATTTTTTTTAAATTCAAAACAATCAAATCCTTCAAATCTGCCTACCCTATCCATGGTTATTTTATTTAAGTGCCTGTACAGGCGTTCAGCCTTGACTCTGTTATCTGGACCGGGTTGAACAGGAATGTCCATGGAGGGCGTTTTGATCCGTGCACTGGCCGTCATTAAAATTTCTCGCAATCGAGGTATACCAAGGGTCACGTTCATTTCACCACGACCGGCAAAGTGAAAGGTGTTGAGCGTCATCTGTGTTGATGGCTCACCAATGGACTAGAAGACAAAGTTCGATGATTTAAAGGGAGTGAATGCAAATAACACTGACATGCTTTCCACTTTGAAACATCAATACAATAAAAGCAAAGGGATTATTTATTTCACAGTAAAGTCAAATAAATTTATTTTTAATTATCCTGTAAGTGATAAGACTTTACATACACAAATTGACAATACGAATAAAATATAAAGTAACATATAAGTTAGTAAATATATATTATATAAAAAAAAAATATATAGGATGAAATATAGTGAAGACTTCAATTGTCAACAGTATTCTTTTAATTTTTATAATACTTCAAGTGGCTCTCTTTAACTAATAATTTATAATAAATCTTATTTCAACATTTTTAAAAAAAATGTTATTCTATGTTTTAAAACAAGTTAAGATGCTTTAAATTAACTTTTTCCTATTATTTGTCTAAAAATGAACAACCCTTTGGTCTTACCTGTGCACACACTAAGCCAACTGCTTCACCCGGGTCAGCTAAGGCCTGGACCAATTTTTTATTCATAGCTGATTTGAAAGCTTCTGGGTTTAGATTTAGTGAAAGTTGTGATGCTATCTAGATATAAACACAGAAGGATTTCAATCAGTAAAAAAAAAATATTCTACTTCTACACTTTAATTCTAATAAAAACAAAGGGTACATTTTTTAATTATTTTTTTTTTGGAACACAAGTTATAAAAAATTGTATTCTAAATTAGCAAGGAATTTTAGAAAAGATATGGGCTATAATAAGTTTTTATTGTTGCACTGTCCTTAACAAAACTTTCATAAATATTTTGTATTCTTTGTATTTTCAAATGCTGCCATTGGAAATAGCCTTTAATGCAACAGCCCTGATGTGAAGATTTACTTCAAAAAACAAAATTTATGAATATGGTTAGTAGAGTTGAAATTTTTAATAAGTATTTTTTCAAGTATATTTTTTCTTATTGATGTATCAAGGTGTGGGCAAAACAGGTGCCATGATCTAATCCTTTTGTTTCTGCAGACCCCTTGCTTACCTGATGAAAACTTTTCTTACAGTACACATTGAGCAGGTGCCTGAATTTCTCCCCCATGACATCAGGTTGAGAGTGGGGTTGATACTTGGCCATGACAGGATCAGGACATCCAATTTTGGGGGACAGCCTGAAATCAAGAGAAACAACATTTCATGATCACAAAAATTGTAGCACACACACACATAACATTCAATGATAAGAATTAACATTCTTAACAATAATAAAACCAACATAAAAATTTTGCATTATCATTATTTGTTTTAAAATCCAACTTTAACATGCCTTATGTTTTTGCCACCACTTTGCTTCTTGATAACAATTAACATTTCAATAAAACAAAAAAGTTTAGAAAAAAAACACAATTAAACTATCTTGTGCACTCAAGAATCTGAGCTTAGCTAGAGATGTCATCAATGTGGGATAAGCTTCTGAGCCTAGCTACAGCTGCCATCAATGACAGGACACTATTTGAACACATTGTGCACATCAGAAATGTTTACCTCTGCCTCTCTTCCTCATCCATTTCCTCCCAGAGTTTACAAAGTTTCTTGGCTGCCACAGATCTCCCAGAGTATTTGCCTTTGGTCACTATTTTAACCTGGTTTGATTCAGAAGGTTCTTGTTCCTTACAAAACTGTATGAACCCACTGTTTCTGTTATGCCAGTCGCCATGTTCAGTGCTGTTAGCTCGCCACTTGCTGATCTGTTGCAGACAAGGTTTTAATACTTTATTGGCATGCATTTTTTAAGTTAGACTATAAATATTCATTGTTAACCCCTCTTTATTTTAGATTGAGTTTGACTCAGCCTCTTACCCTCCAACAGATGTTTGCACAAGATCCTAAAAATTATAAGTTTTGAAACGATTCCAAATGGGATAATACAGAAGATCAGGAAGGGATTCTGTAGAGTGGGAAATATAGAGAAGAAAATGGAGATTGAGTGGCCACACACCTTGGAAACCAAAGTCCAATATAACTAACCAGTCTCTGTCGTAGAATCTATAGAAAGAGAGAATTATCACCGAACACTCTCAGAAAAGACTGGCTGATAGAATGAGAGAAAAGGCAAAAAGTATAATTATGAGTTCATAATAATAGATCAAAAGAGAGATGAAAGGAAAGAATTTGTGAATGGCTCATGATGCACCGCTAGATGCAAATAGAAGAATGAATTACCCGTTTCCAATTTTTCCTAATTTCCTTCCTGTTGGCACTAGTCAGCCAGGGATCACTGGAGTTACTGAGAAGAACATGGAGGTTCTCTGTGAGGAATGGGAACTGTGAAGGCTGCAGGTAAGGACTTCTGACAGGCTCCAGACCATCTTCACCATAATAAAACTGGAGAAAGTAAAACAATAAGTTGGAGCTACGGTATGTTGGCATTAACATTAACCATGTATGGTTAATGGGATTAGTCAGGTTGCATAATGGACTGGACAAGAGCTAAAGCTTTACATGTTTCAAATGGCAGGTCACTCCATTTTCATTGAACACATAAACCTAAGGATGAAAACATTGATTAATTCACTCAGCAGTCCTAACGTGTTTATTTTAAAGTTGTGACAATTTATTGCAATCGTTTGTATGGTTCCACCACCCTAAAAAAATGGCAGCGTTAAAGACATGTGCTTCAAGAGTTTTTAATGAAATCATGACACTTCACAACCGAGACAGCTAATACAATTTCCCAAATTAAGTTTTTCATTTGATGGGCTGGCTAAAATGTTTCGTATACAAAAGGTGTGACGGTTAAAATTTTATTTTTAAAAACCTGATAGTTGTTAATAAAATAAAGTTGCAAAAGTATGAAACCTCCTTCCTTTTTTTATGAGATAGTGAAACGAGGTATGTGGAAGCTTGAAATAAGGTAACAGGACAAAAAACAAGGACGTTTCGGCATAAAGCCTTCCTCAGCCAACAATAGAAATGAAAATATAACAAAGAAAAGAACACAGTAGACAACTCCAATTTATTCCTTTTTTACCTGAACAAGTCCTCCATCGTTGTCTCGCACTGTTAAATCATAATTGACCATTAAACCCTCCAAATGTTTAACCAGACATCTCTGCAAGTAACCACTACGACTGGTCTTCACGGCTGTATCAATAAGACCCTAATGGAAGGCAATCATAAGTTTATAATTAGATACTATTGGAGGACATGAGAGGCCATATAGTAGGGTTGGACTAAGCAAAGTTTTTTTGTTTTTTTTTGTTCTGTTTTTTTTAATTTAAAAAATCCAAACAATAAAGATGACGCATTACTAAAGACATAACAGTGAACATTTCATCAGTTAAAATTTTTTAAATGCATTGCAGCTCATCATTGATTTACTTTAATACCATTGGTATGGACTATTGGCCTATTCATAATAAGGCTATTCATTAAGGACATCAGAACAATTTAAAAAGTAACAAGAGATCATTTTTAAACTAATTTTTTTTATTGTTAGATAAACATACACTATTTGAAGAAGCAGGGAACTTTACGATTTCCAAATTTTGTCATTCCCTGTCATCAAATCAAATAATGCTTAAGCTGGCTTTACATGTTTTTAACTCTACTCAATGCTATTTTGTTTGAAGGCTTTTATTAGATATTTTTATGTATCACTTATCAACAAGGCACTGGCCGTTTTGCCCCAGTACCACTGTGTGTTGTTTACTGACCTCTCTACCAGCCATACAATGAAAGAAGTATTCCTGCGGTCTGATCCCTGTCAAGAAACGCCCTGTTACAAAGCCCCCAGCTTTTGGGGAGACATCGTAGGGCAGGAAAGAGGGGAGGGATCTCCCACTCAGCATAAGCGGAGGACGACGACCTTCCAATTCTATTTGACCCAGCAGACATGAGATCTGCATGCAGTTGACCTGTAAAAGGGAAGACATGGCGTCACAATGTTAGTGTGGCGTGTGAGCAGACCGGGGGGGGGGGGGTGGGGGTATTTTGTTTCATGCAGCCTGGGCCAATCATGTTATTTAACTTTTAGCTTGGGAAAAAATAAAGATATGATTTCCCGCTTTTTAAAAATTAAAAGGGAAGACATGGCGTCACAATGTTAGTGTGGCGTGTGAGCAGACCGGGGGGGGGGGGTTGGTGTATTTTGTTTCATGCAGCCTGTGCCAATCATGTTATTTAACTTATAGCTTGGGAAAAAATAAAGATATGATGTCCAGCTTTTTAAAAAAATAATGCACTATTTCATAATCCCTTAATTTTCTCTACATTATTACACAGTTCATGTTAGGTTTGAATATTGTGCGTTAATACCGATCTTCCATCGAGCACCTCCCCTAATGGCGGATAGGGGAAAGCCCACCAGATATGGCAGTACTGGGGAAATAAAATACAAGGGGCTGACCAAAATCAGAACCAACTTCCTTGTAGGAAGTAGAGGATTCCACATGGACTAGGTAAACTTATACTAAAACAAAGGCAATTACAAGAGAGCTGTAAGGGACAGCCCCCCAAGATGGTTGTGATACTAAACGAGATGGATAGATGATGTGGAAAACGATCTACATGATACTAAATGAGATAGATAGACAATGTTGAAAAAGATCTACAGCAGCTCGGAATCCAAGCATGGAAAAGAAAAGTATCAGTTAGGTCAGAGTGGAAGGAAGTGGTGAGACAGGCCAAAGCCCTATATGGGCTGTAGCGCCACAGGGATAGTTATATTTAAATCAAGGGACTAATGTTTTGTAATCAAAAAAAACTATACAACTTCACAATTGTTTCTTGAAATAAAATAAGTAGAAATCAAGCTGATTAACTGACTCACAGGTGAACCTTTGGCTCCAGATTGTACCATGAGTTGGAGGCTGTTCTCAGGAAATCCTTTCTCAAGTGTGCTTGGCATTATTGACCTGTGAGCAGAAACATATTACCAGTTTATTGCCTGCCATTGTTTAAGTTGCTTTTCCAATAATTCTCACAAGTCAAGCTACATTCGAGACAATAAAATAAGTAAAAAAATTTTAGGTCTTGTGAAAATAGGACGAAGTGGTGCTCAAAATCTATCTTATGACTCCAGAACTTGGCCCCTGGCAATGATTTTCCCCCACTTATAAAATCTGAACATATTTGAATTTTCTGATAGCAAATATTTTGAAATTGTTTTCCCTCTGTTGTTACCCATAAAATGTACATTCATAAATACTGAACTAACATCCCCTTTTCTCACTTTGCAATATCGTCTTGCACTCTGTCTGTCTCCCCCTTCATGCACATATCAAGTTCTGCCATCTTTAGTCCATCCTTATCAAAGTGGGCCTTCTTAAGTTCCAGCAGTAGATCCAAGTCGTCTGTTTGTGGACTCAAGCCGAATGCTTTCATGGCGGCCTCCTTACCCAAGTTTTGGGACTTTTTAATCAAAGACTTCCTTCGCCTGTTTCCCTGTAATTAACGACCCAATAACGGTTAAGAGTGCAAAATTAAAAAAGTGAAAAATATAATCTCGCCTTTCAACATTATTGACTAACTTGGTAGGGTATAATATAAATAACTTATGTGAGAGGACTAAAGTTTGACAGGAGAGGGTACTGGGATGTGACTAATTAGTGTTTAAAGATTCATATTCAAAGTTGTTGAATAGTACTACTGGCTCTCTTATTCAGATATCAATGAATATTCAAAGAGGAACAGCCATGGCAATAAACAATCAACATAAAAATTACATCCTACCTTTTTCTGGACTAAGATATCACCAACACCCATCGAGAATCCTGACATTTGAAGGTAGGAAGTAAACAAACGTCCCAAGTAGGTAAGCAGCTTGCCTGCTACCTCCCCTCCGTAGAGCTGAGAAATCAAACGATCACTTAAGTATAACATTATGGAAGCCAATCAGTTTTATTTATCATTCAACAGCCTGGTATCTCAATGCCTAGGTCTTGACCTAACACTGTAACCCCAGTAACAACACAACCCCAGAAGCCACAGCAGATAGTGTCTAGATCAGTGCATCCTTATGTAATCATCAGAATAGTGGTGGAGGCTCATAACTTTGACATAATAAGATTACTGACCTGTGAGTTAACACAGTAGTAATACCACACAACAAAGTAGTAATACCACACAACACAGTAGTAATACCACACAACACAGGTATTTGAATTCAATCTCCCAATTTTGTCTCATCATGTGCACTGCATAAACATGGTCTTCTTGTTACAGATTTCGCTTTTTGACATTATTAGTACTCACCTCGTAACAGCCGTGCACCAGCCCATAGCTAGATGGACCGTAATGTGCTTTGTCCAAAACACCCTGGAGAAGTTCTCCGTGTCGGATAATCACAGTGCTCTCCCCTAGTGTTTCTGATTCTAAACCTGCCATATGTAAGGGCAGAGAAGCTGAGTTGTGTCTGTCTACCCAAGGGGTCCAACTCTAAAACAAATATCAAAGACAAAAATGTCTGAACAATTTTGCACATGTATCTTTGGTAAGATTAGGAAGATAATTAAATTAAACTAGTATAAAAATACACTTTAATAATAAATGTGATATAATGTGAACATGAGAAAGATAAATAAGAACATTATGGTTGGAGAGGGGGGGGGGGAATAATACAGATAACAACCTATTATAAAATGAAATTACTAAAAAATCCTGAACTTAACAAATCAACGGGAAAAGGAAAAAAAATAATCTAATTTCACCTTCTCTGGAATCTTAGCTTTGCCTTTCAAATTGATAAGTCCTTTTCCTTTTGGGATGATATTCAACAAGATAGTGCTGATAACCTATAACAAGTGTTTAATTAAACATCTATGAATAAAATTTAAGGCTACATTTTACGTGAAGATATAAATGAAGTTTCAAATCATAACAAAGCTTGTATTATGGTTCTGAACTTGAAAACAAGAAACGTTACATGCATCAAGAGATACCCAACAAATTTTCAGATATTCCCCAGCTTATAGGACTTGTATGTTGCATTATGTTCATTGAGAGGAAATAATACATTTTTTAAATGCTTATCAATTAGTACCCAAAACCTAAATTCATTGAGTTGATATTTGTAAATCTAGCAACACTCACTTTTACTGGAACATTTTTAGACGGTTTAAAACTGCGCCAGTCAACCAGTTTTTTTAAACCTATAATTTCCTTTTAACAACTATCTTGGAAATCAATGCAGAATCCATTTATCTCACCTGCTTGCCAGACCACAAGACATCGGGTCTGATGATGGTGGGGGGCAACAGATCAATCTTCTCTCTCCAGTCATTCATAGCACTCCACACCAGTCCACAATAGTCTCGCCTATGCAATAATAGAGTTCAAATAGCCAAAGTTGTTGAAAGAAAAACAACGATTATCAAAACTTTCATCTATTTATTTAATGTTACCATAATTACCTTGAAAAAAATCTGCCCCTTATCGTCAAGGCAACACCTGAAACCATGTGATCTTGAATTAAACCAGCCAATGGTGTGCTGTCCTTTGGAACTAAGTAGTTATAATCTGTCAGAGCTGAAAAACAATCAGGATTTTAAATTTTACAATTTTCTTTTGAGAAATAATGAGAAAATTTAAAGAGACTAAATAAAACATTCTAAAAATATACATTTCCAATAAAATTATATCTAAGCTGTGTTTCAATAAAAATGATGTTAGTTCAGCTATACAAGAAAGGGAATGAACTTGGAATATCAGATACACTGTATTATAAACATATAAGCCAGGCAAGTTTTGCAAGTTATGTCTGGTGTTCGAAAAAAATGAAGAAGATTAAATGCAGCATAGTAAAAAATTTAAAAAATTAGACGTTTTGCATGGCCACAGAAGAGAGCTTTGAAACCCTTTCAAAGTATAAAGTTATAGCAGCTTGGCACTGCAACACACAGCCTATACTAAATATCACTAAGGGAAAAAGCCTTGGGAACTGGTTTTCTACCTAAATAGGAAGCCTCTGCTCTGCTGAGCTCACACTGAGGAAAATGAGCATTCATTTCATCACCATCAAAGTCAGCATTGTAGGCCTTGCAATTGGAGTAGTGCATCCTTAATGTTTTTATTGCAGGGAGAACTCGAGCCTGAGAACAAAATAAATCTCAGATAAATATGAATAGAGATGTTCACATTACACTCTTTACCTAGTTTGGATAATTTAAAGGAAATTTAAAATAAAGAAGACAGTAATATAGAGTCAGTAAACAATCATCAGCAGTGAATTTTGCAGCCCAGCAAAATAATTTGTGTAAGCAATCATATTTTCTCGTTTGTTAAAATAAAACGCCTTAGCTGCCACTTAAAAATGTTTAATTGACAAAAATCAGGACACATTTTTCTCCATTATTATTTAACTTTGTATACAAATGAATGTCTCACCTTGTGTGCTTGCATACTGGGTCTATGTAAAGTGGGCTGTCGGTTAAGCAGTAAAAGGTCACCATTGATAAGATGGCGGCATACCTAAACATGGAAATATGAAAATTTGTTAAAACTGACTTTAATGCTAGAAGTTTGAGAGAATTATGATCATCACTACAAACAAGTAATCTGGTTTGTTCATTTCAATCGCTAGAGAAGACTAATAAAACAAATAATAATAATAATAATAAAGTTCATTTCAAAAACACGCTTCATCCCCAAAGGCTCGAAGCGCGGTACAAAGTCAACAAAAAACCAATCTATAATTTACCACATTTAAAACAAACGCAACACTACAAAAACTAATTACAAGCATACAATGTCAAAGTCTTTCTAGCCATTTCAACCATAAGCAACACAGCCATTATGCATTAACTGGAAAATAAGGTAGACAATCATCCCAGAAAGTGTTTGCGAAATAGATGTGTCTTTAAATCGGTTTTAAAGGACTCCAGTGTCTGGTTGTTTCTGAGATCGACAGGAAGGGCGTTCCAAATTGTTGGACCAGCAAATGTGAAAGTGCGCTTTCCATAAGTCTCAAGGCAAACACGTGGTGTCGAGAGTTTGCCACTATCGGATGAGCGGAGCTCTCTAGTGGGTACATAAGGCGTCAGCAGCTCTTTCAGATAGGACGGCGCCAGGTCATGTAAGAAGCGGTAGCACAAAGTTGTGATTTTGTACTCTATGCGAGCACGCACCGGCAGCTAGTGCAACTCTCTCAGACGTGTTTTTGCATGGTCGAACTTGCATTTGCAGAGAATAATGCGAGCCGCATTATTCTGTGCTATTTGAATTTTATCCAGGAGGGTAGCTGGAAGACCCACCATGAGAGCATTGCAATAGTCCATGTGTGATAGCACAAATGCAGAACATATGGATATCATATGTAAAATTTTAAAATAAATTTATGTTACTGCCATTTGAAACATTGAAAAGGTTAAATAAAAATCTGTTACCAAAACATCCTTTTGACAGGTAGCCGCTTTAAAAAAGAAGAATGAGAATGATAAGCTAACCGTTTTTGACCCAGCAACTTTTTGGTCTGGCACAAGAAGCTGCTTGGCTATGGCCTCTCTCTGACTGGCATTTGCTGGATTCAGTTTGGTCACAGTACCATCTTCATTGATAACACTCACAGCACTAGGAGCACACAAAAAAGACTATTTATTTATTTTTTTTATACAATAAGTTGGCAGTTGTGACACAGATAAAATTTTATTTCAAAGCTACACCTTAAACATTTCTATGTTATTTTCAGGTGGTAATAAATCACTTAAACCCTTCTTTTTTTATTTATTTAATGTTCATTTTTCACTGAAGTATTTTTTTATATTTGCCATGTATGTGTTTAAGCTTCCAGTTAACAACACGATGATTGACACCTAAGCTTACAACTAAATGATTCAATATTATGGTAATCTTGACGATATATACAAAATTTAATTATAACAGTCAATGGGGGAGAGAAAAACAACACTTGGACAGTGACTGTATTCACCACCTAATGTAAGAAAATTATGTCTTATCTTATTATTTTGTTATGTTTTCCATGGTTCCAGGAAAATATTTTACTGTTTAAAACTGGGAATATTTTCTATGATCATCATTAAAATGTCCCTTTGCAGTAAATTAAGTTCCTAAAGCTCTTGCTGACCCGGGATAGATTAAAGGTCCATTGATGACCATCTGTCGCAGCTGGTGGACATTCCAGGGGGTGACTCGTTGAGGAAAGGTAAGCTTAGAAGCAAACACCATGGGCACTCCTATTTCGTTGGTGGCTATGTACGGATCAGGAGAGATTACCGAACGAGCTGCATAGTTGACTCGCTTTCCCATCATGTGCATCCTTAAAAGGCCTTCTTTCTTTTCAAGAAGCTGGTAGAGAATAGTTCAGATGTTTCTTTTTCATGTACATGCTAACACTTCATTGTATTTAAAGAATAAAAGGAGATTTTTACAAAGCTGAATGGTTTAAACTAATATATAAATTTTTTCTGTTTTAAATTACTGTATTTTAAAGTTGACACGTCTAAGAAAAAGTTATTGCTCATCTCAAGCTCAATTTTTTTGCTAAGTAAATTAAAAATGATACCTATTTTTTCAACTAAGGAAACAAATAATTTTTTTTAATAACAAAATGAGTTCAGAGCATTAGCTTATTTAGGGAAACATTTTCAATGTAAGTGACCGAGATAAGGAGCACACTTGTGAGTATCAATGAAATCATTGACCATATCCTGCTTAGCAATTTAGTTTCTTTATATTAGTTTCAAATAGCTAAAAAATAAAAAATTATTATGTAAAATAAGACCACAAAGATAAAACCCGACTGACCTGCCTGACACCAATACAGGAGTCCTGTGTCAGCTTGTCCAGTTCATTATCCAGTACAATGTTAACCCTGGACTGAAGTCGCAACCAAGAAGCCATTATCTTCTGTACATGAACTGTCATGTTCTCATTGGTATCTTGAACTGTCAACCCCTAAAGATTCAGAGATTTAAAACACTGAGTTACATACAGAAGCAAAGAAAGCTTTTACAAAAGAAATTGGTGTAGAGATTAGTTAACTTGTATTTTTTTTTTTTCCAAAGATATTTTAATCGAGCATAGATAAATGTTAAGATAAACAAATGAACTATATTATTTAGTTATTTAATGTCTACAAAATGGACTTAATCTAAACTTTCTGCGTGGTTTGCAATGAATTTATTTACCACATAAATTTAATCTTTCTTTTTTTTAAATTAAATGCACTGGTATTTTCAGTGGCCATATTTTTATGGGGATGTTTATTTATCAAACAAATGAAAAGATAATTTTTATTCGTCAACAGCTATAGTCTAGATTAAGTGGCTACAAACCACACAAATTTTCACGTCTGCAGACTTTAACAATGCAAGTAACATGTCATCCTATTTATCAAATGGTAATATATATGTGTTTCTTAAACAGCCATATTTTTTTAGCATCCTGTTGTTGTAGGGTTATTTAGGGATCAGTAGAGTTCTAAGCAGCTACTCATTTTTTTTAAAAATGATCACCTGAACATTGCCATCAAGAACATTCTCTATCCTCTTGCTGTAAGTTTGTAACAGATCCTTCAATGTAACACACTCCCTTAGAACATTGGACAAGTTGGCAGTCTGGGGGTGTTCATACTTTCGTTCTTTCATTATGCTCAGCTGAGAAGAAAAGGGCGAAATGTTGATATCACAAATAGTGAATGCAAATATAGTTGAAATTGTTTTTTTTAATTATATTCATAACATTGTAAAAATAACAAACTGATGTTCTCTTTGCATCAGTTTATTAATTTTCATTGCATTTAATTAACATAGTCATTAGTTGATTTAAATTTGTTATAACTTATTTCTATTTTACCAAGATATTTTTAATGATTTTTCTTTTAATGTGCACATATAAAAGCAAGTTTTTATTGTTCTTAAAAATAATGGTTTGATTTTTATTATCACGCTGACACAATTTTGTAATAGGATGATTCAATAACTCACATATTCTTTGAAAACTATTAGTAAAAAATATACATTAAGTTTTAATTGAATTTTTTTAAAAATCAGTTAGGAATTTTCTTTTTAATACAAAAAGAAAATAACTACTCTTCCCAATTGCTGGCTGATCCATTAACCAGTCTTTTTTTTATTTGACTCAATTGCTGAACAAGCTGATCAATAAGAAAATCCATAAGCCTTAAATTCCTTTCTGATTTTGAAAAAAATGACAGTAAATTAACAGTTTATTATTAATCATGCAGGAAAATAAGATGTTGAGACACACAGGCCTGAATCTGGATGGTGGTACTGGAATGACATCAAGGAAAAAAACATCAGTTGGCACTTCTGCACCATTCACTTTGGCCAGAAAAGGAAACAATTTTTGTAAAAACTCCTTGCCATGTTCCCAGACCTGAAATTGAAATAAATCAGAAAATCATTATTTGATAAACAAACAGTAATAAAAATGGCATGCTTCTCAATAGAGGATAACTTAATACTAAAGTGACATATATCTGAACTAGGTCCTGATTAACCTGTAATTGACAATTCTAAAAGTATTTTTTTCTTACTTTACAAGGTCAACTGTACATTATTGCTCATTTTAATGCAAGTTGGTTTAATGATATAAATTAATTTTTGAGTCTTTAGCAGGTAAAACTTCCAGGTGTGAGCACAATTACCTCCAGTACTTATAATACTTCTTACCAGTCTGACATGCTCTCTGGCCACATTTGGAGACAATATGCACCTCTTGTGTTTAGATTTAATGAAGTGATCCAGTTCTGTCTGAAGTTGAGCCTCGACTGGCACTGGGTCCAACCCGGAATCCAGTTTGTCCTGTTCTGAATTTTCATCTGCAGCTTGGCTTGTTTGCCTGTCATCCATTTCAACAGCATCATCCCCGTTGGCATCAACCTCATTTTCCTCTTGGTCTTTTTTCACCTTGGTTTTGCTTTTCAAACGTGAGAGGAAAAAAAGGAACAATTTTCAGCTTGTATTCAATCTTTAGCTACTGCCAAAACACAGACAAGATGACAGAAAAATGCTAATAAATTTGAAAAATTCCTAATATTTAGAATAGAGTGTGTCATGTTATCCCGACCGACACAGTGGCCACCAGTCTCACAAACAAGAGTGTTGTCCCCATCTACAATAGACTCATCAGCCCAGCTAAGCAGCTATTCTTGGGGAGGTGATAAACCCTGAATGAAAAAATCCTAACCACAACAGTCCAAAAACAGCATCCAGCTTGGAGTGGCGTTTAAAATACACCATTCTGACACAATGAAACATTATGGTCTTTGTAAAGCCTAATTAAAATAATAGCAATACAAATCAATGGTGGCATTTCTTTTCTCAATTTGAAACTGACACATCACATTGAAGACAAGGCGAAATCCTTACATAAACTTTCTCTGGCTAAAATGGTGTCATTAAAAGAAATATGAGTATCAAAATGTATAAGGCCACAGACTAGTAAACTTAAATTACCGAACTACTTACTGACACTTTCTTGAAATTAAATATTTTTCTTTTTAAAGAGCATGATCAAATATATTTACCAAGATTTCTTTCAAGAAATCATAAATATGTGCAGACACCATATTTTCATTGTAAGACTGTAGAAAAATTTGAGTATTCACTCTTGATAGGCTGCACAAATATTTACTGTTATTTAAGTGTTTACTGTATAACTGTATTGACAATTGTCATTCCCTTGGGTCCACTGGTTGCGTGGAGAGTGGGGATCTGCTGCATTGGGCAACAGCTGGTCTCCATAAATCACCGCCCAGGCTAAGTAGCTATATTAGCGACGTCACTTAACGTAGAGCAAGTTTGTTTCGCAAGGCAAAGAAAGTCAATAGGAGGAAGACTCAACCACTTCGCTTCGCGGCATGGAATGTGAGAACCATGTGTCCTGGATTTGAAACGGACCTTGATCAAATTGAATACGCAAGGAAGACTGCCATCATTGATAAAGAACTCGCCAGACTGAACATTGATATTGCAGGCCTTCAAGAGACCCGACTATCGGATAGTGGTACCATCAAGGAAGCCAGCTACACATTCTACTGGCATGGGAAACCCGCAGATGAACCTAGACGGCATGGTGTTGGATTTGCCGTAAAAAACAGATTATTGGCCTGTATTGAACCTCCTTCATTGGGATCGGAGAGGATTCTGCGACTGCGGATGTCATCATCTGCTGGCAAGGTCAATGTATTCAGTGTGTATGCTCCAACTCTTCATTCGACTCCAGAAGAGAAAGATTTTTTCTATGAGACCCTGGACCAAGAATTATCAAGTGTTCCCAAAACATTGTACATTCTGGGAGACTTTAATGCTAGGGTAGGAGCTGATTAATGAAAACGGACGTTTGCTGGAGCTGTGCTGCTCCCATGGTCTCTGTGTTACAAATACCTTCTTCAAATGTAAACAAATCCAAAAGGTGTCATGGCGACACCCACTTCCCGCCACTGGCACCAGCTAGACCTCGTCATTACTAGGCGCTTGGAACTAGCTAGTGTACTTCACACACGCAGCTACCATAGTGCCGACTGTGACACGGACCATTCTCTAGTGGCAAGCAAGATACGACTAATGCCCAAAAAATTGCATAATGCTAAAAAGTCGTGTCGTCCACGAATAAACATCCTCTGCTCAAACAACCCAGAAAAAACGCAGCAATTCATAAAAGTGTTGCAGGACACCCTTGCTAAAGGATCACACGATGGAACTATTGACTCTAAGTGGAGTCATTTAGGAGATGCTGTGTACGATTCAGCCATGTCCGCCTATGGTAAAAAGGAGCATAAAAATGACTAGTACGAGGCACATTGGAATGTGATGGAACCCGTAATCGAGAGGAAGAGAAGAGCCCTACTTGCCTATAGGGATGCACCTTGTGCTAGTACACTGCAGGCTCTACGAACCCCAAAAAAATTATCACAGCAGACTGCCCGCCACTGTGCCAACACTTACTGGCTAGACTTTTGCAACTTCATACAATCGGTTTCAGTCAACGGAGATGCAAGGAGCATGTACGAGGGCATCAAGAGGGAATTTGGTCCACACACGTCAAAAATAGCACCACTCAAGTGCAAAACAGATCAAATTATCAAGAATCCAAATGATCAACTCCGGCGTTGGGTAGAGCACTATCTTGAGCTATACTCTACAATGAATGTATTCACTGAGACCGCTCTGCATAATATTCCTGCCTTGTCAGTAATGAATGAACTGGATGAAGAGTCAACTTTACAGGAGCTCGAAAAGGCCATCGATTACCTTGAGAATGGAAAGGCTCCAGGGATCGACGGCATCCCAGCGGAAATCCTCAAAAATGGAAAACCTATCCTACTTCAGCCCTTACATGAGCTCCTCTGTTTGTGTTGGGAAACAGGTCACATTCCCCAGGACATGAGAGACGCCAACATTGTAAATTGTATAAAAATAAAGGGGACGTAGTGATTGCAATAACTACCGAGGTATTTCTCTCCTTAGCTTAGTTGGAAAGACTTTTGCCCGTGTTGCCCTTAAACGATTGCAGAGTCTTGCGAACCGCATCTACTCAGAGTCCCAGTGTGGCTTCAGGAGTGGGCACTCAACAATAGACATGATATTTTCGCTATGCCAAATGCAGGAGAAATGTCGCGAACAGCATATGCTTCTTTATATTGCCTTCATAGACCTGACCAAGGAATTTGACTTGGTAAGTCGAAGAGGCCTTTTCAGTATCCTGCAAAGAATAGGTGTCCCCCACGACTGCTCACAATAATACAGTCATTTCACAAAAACATGAACAGCACAGTTGCTTTCAATGGCACTGTCTCTGAGTCATTCCCAGTTAGCAGCGGAGTAAAACAGGGTTGTGTACTGGCACCAACGCTCTTTTCAATTTTCTTTTCAATGCTCCTTCAATTTGCATTCAGTGACTGTGAAAATGGAGTGTATGTCCATACAAAATCTGATGGAAGACTGTTCAATATCGCCCGCCTTCGTGCAAAGACCAAAGTAAAAAAGGTGCTGATTCGTGAACTGCTGTTCGTCTACGATGCCGCCTTAACATCTCACACAGAAGAAGGTCTGCAGGGGCTGGTTAATCGTCTATCACACGCTTGTAAAGAGTTTGGACTTTCGATTAGTCTACAGAAAACTCATGTAATGATGCAAGAAGCACCGTCTCCTCCAATCATATCTATTGAGGGTCATAATCTTTCGGTTGTTGATCATTTCACATACCTGGGATCCAATATTTCTAGTTCTCTCTCCGTTGATGAAGAGATAAATATCAGGATTGCAAAACCAGCAGCAACTATGGCTAAACTGATTAAGCGGGTGTGGAATAATCTCAATCTAACTGATAAAACAAAAATAAGTGCTTAGCACGCTCCTATATGGCAGGGAAGTGTGGACCACATATACCAGCCACGAGCGGAAACTCAACACCTTCTATCAAAGATGTCTACGTCGCATTTTGCGCATTCGTTGGCAGGACAGGGTGCCTAACGTGGAGGTTTTGGAACGTACACGTTTAGCATATTCTCCTTTCAAATAAGAGGCGCCTTCGCTGTTTAGGTCATGTACGGAGAATGAAGGAAGGACGTGTCCCAAAGATTCTGCTGCATGGAGAGTTTGCAGAAGGGACAAGACATATTGGACGACCGCGCCTGAGATTTATTGACGTTTGCAAACGAAGCATGAGGGAAGCCAATATTGAAACAAACAAATAGGAGTTCATTGCCGAACATCGCTGCAACTGGCGAACAGCTGTGTTTGAAGGAGTAAACAAGGCAGAAGATACTCGAAACGAGGCCCTTGAATCAAAAAGAACAATTCGGAAATCAAGAATTTAGCGGGATTCAATATTCTCCTGCGAGAGATGCGACCGTGAGTGCCATTCTAGGATTGGCCTAGTGAGCCACTCGTCAAAGTGTAGAACTATATAGCTACTCCATCGTCTCACGAAGACGGAAGGATGCGATACAGACTGTATAACTATATCAATCAGCCTCTGCTCCAGAGTGTAACTTGGAGTGCCAGTATTACTAAAGCTAAAAAGTCATTGAGAAGTCTTACTCAGTTTTATTTTTTGATCTCTCTTCAATCATAGTTCCAACAATGGTACGATTGTACTCGGCTTTTAAAGTACGATTCCTGGTTTGACAGTGCAGACACACAGACTTTGAGGAGGTAAATGCATTCAAGATAGTACGGACGGCAATCTGATGTAAAGTGATGACATTCTTTGATAATACATGGCCAGTTGTCTTATGACCTAGAAAATACAGGTTCAAAAAAAAAAAATTAATTGAGTTTTGTACTTTTTTTTTAAAAATTTCATTTAAGTGAAAGGAACTTATAGCAGCAAATCTGGTCTGTTATTTTACAGCAAGATTAAAGGCTTTTGGGTTACTCCTAATCTATAAAATATGAACGTGCATGTTCACCAAAAGCATGTTTTATTGAAATCCTGCACTGATGGTCATTTAATTTTTTTTGTATTTACATGAAGAAAAAAACAAAACTGAAGAATAAATTAGTCAAAAGTATATACTGTATTTATTGGCGTATAACACACACTTTTTCTCCCTGAAAATATGGGGCAAATGATGTGTGCGTGTTATACGCCAATATAATGTTAAGGAGCCATAGTACATACCGCACAACGGCGTGAAGGTGCGTGTTATACGCCAATAAATACGGTATTTCTTTTAAGATTTTTTTTTAAAAGTATTTCTTTACAATTTCAAAAAGTCATTTCATGATCCAATTTCAATGGTTGTGAATATTTTAAAAGGAGACAAAGTTATATTAACAAACTGCAATGACTCTGTCTTCAAATTAATTGCAGATCTCTAAGATCAAGAGCTGGCATTGCTAGGCTTTGAAGCATATTTAAACTTCCAATCAAAGTATCAATCAAAATTACCATGGAGGACATCTCTGACATAGTCTTGCATTTCCTGAAAAGCAACATTTTCCGATTTTTCACAGTTCAAGAATTTCTCCTCTAAATCTTGAGCTTCCACAAGTAAGCCTCTCTCCAGCAACTCCAGTTGATACGTATAGAGCTTAATATGAATAAGAGGCAATTTGATTCTGTGACAGCACATGCAGCTGCCTTTGAGTAACTGAAATAAATAAAATATGACTACTTAATTATTTTCCGTAGAGAGGTGAGTGCAATGAGCTGGAGATTGATGGTTGAAATTATATTGTTTTAGGGAAAGTTGTTGCCTTAAATGCTGACACTACTTCAGACTAATTCAAGTTAAAATACTTAGTTAACTATACACAATAGAACCAATGGCAGGAGCTAAAATCACATTCACCAGAGGAGCAAAATGTCAGCTGATTAGTGTTTTGAAAAGTCACTCATTAAAACAAATAACACGATGAAAGAAAAAAATTATTTCTACCAATATGCACAGATGGCAATAAAAGCTGAAAGCTAAGTCATCCTTCTTGGGTTTGTTCATTGGATCCACTGATTACCATTGAAGATTTTAAATTTATGTATGTTTTTTTTTGACATTGCATTCATTCTTTTATAACATATTCATAATGTACTAATCTCGTAATAATTTGGTTAGAGGGTATTTACCTTAAGAAGAACCTTAAATAAAATCGGGTTAAATAGTAGGACTGGGAGTTTGATGTGGCCAAAATGACCTGGGCAGTTTTTTTCACTCTGACCACAACTTTCGCAGCGTTCATCTCTGCGGCACGGACCTCAAAGATAAGGATATTAAAATAAGTTAAATCCAAAATGAGAAACCCTTAATGGTTAATAGCATGTACAGCCAAGTCATTATCTAAAACAAAAAACAAATTTAAAATTCTGCAGTACAACTGAATAGTTATTAATAACAAATAATTTAATTGCTAACAAGTTATCGAAATTATAAGCTTTGTAATTTATTACTTTTAATTTGGGAATATACATAATTAGAAATTAATTTTGGGCACCTCCAAGCCTTCAGAAGCCTTCTCTAATTTTTTTTTTTTTTTACCTAATGCTATATCATGTAATCCTCCTATAACAGGATTCTGCAGTACATCAAAAGTTTGTGGATTGAATATTTCTTTCACGCTCAACTGTAGAATTTCTTTGGGAATATACATAATTAGAAATTAATTTTGGGCACCTCCAAGCCTTCAGAAGCCTTCTCTAATTTTTTTTTTTTTTTTTACCTAATGCTATATCATGTAATCCTCCTATAACAGGATTCTGCAGTACATCAAAAGTTTGTGGATTGAATATTTCCTTCACGCTCAACTGTAGAATTTCTGATTTGCTGTAGAAACGAAAATCCACATTGTTCAATATCCAGTGGAATGAATCCATGTTTTCTTTGGCTATCTATTTGAGAAAAAAGAAAGGTTAAAAGATTATAATTAAAATTATTGTTTTATAATTTTTTTTTTATTGCAGAGTTTTAAAATCTCTTCAAAAGCTCAGGCCTAATTCTAAAATAAAATTTGCTAGCAACAAAATTGCAGATTTCTTAAAACCATAATTATCCTTTACCAATTGCACATGGCTTCTGAGGGAAACTCAAGACCCACAACCAACGGGCACACTCTACAACCAAACACTTCAGTATCTTGCATATGCTGATGACATAGCACTTCTAGGGAAAAGTATAAAAGACATATCAAAATCCTTTATTGAATTAGACGACGCATCTCTACAAGCAGGGCTGGAAGTTAACAACCAAAAAACAAAATACATGACCATGATAAGAGAGGAACAAACAGATGAAACAATTAAAATTAGAAACCACACTTTTGAAAAAGTAAATCAATTTAAATACCTAGGATCCTTGTAATGTTAAATGAAAGAAACGAATTACTAACAGAAATAAAAGAAAGAATATCAGCCGGAGCAGGGCATACTTCAGTAGTCAGAAAATACTCAAAAGTAAAAACATTACAAGAGAAACAAAGAAAACTATTTATAAAACTGTGATCAGACCAGTTGCAACATATGCAAGTGAAACTTGGACCCTAACAAAAACAGCAGAAAACCTATTAAACACATGGGAGAGGAAAATTCTCAGGAAAATATATGGGCCAACAAAGGATGAATATGGATGGAGAATACGAACCAACCAGGAATTATACAGTCTATATCAGGATCCCACGATAGTGGCAGAAATAAAAAGAGGCAGGCTACGCTGGGCAGGACACCTAGAGATAATGCCAAAATGACAGAGGAACGAAGAGGGTACAACACCAACACCCCAGAGGAAAAAGGCTCAAAGGCAGACCTAGGCTTAGGTGGATAGATGATGTAAATGTAGAAAAAGATCTACAGCAGCTGAAAGTCCAAGCATGGAAAAGAAAGGCATTAGTTAGGTCTGAGTGGAAGGAAGCTGTAGCGCCACAGGGATGGATGGCTCATTGTCATTATGATTGCACATGGCCCTCATGGCACATACTTGTTTTTTTTTTTGTCTGCTGAAGAAAGTGAAGGCATTTAACGGAAACGTCCTTTTAAGTTATTTTCACTTTTAATTGTTCTTTCTCTCACCTAAGTTGGCCTTAGCTAAACTCAGATATTTATATCATGAATCATAATAATCATATTATACCATGACCATATTTATTATTAAATCTTCTATTAATCTATTTCTCAGTTCTGATTTCAGTTTCAGGCCGGCTTTAACTATAACTATAATTTATAATAATAATAAAATAATGTTTAAATAAATATGTTATAGATTAGATATCTATAAATAAATATTAGATCCCCTATGTTTGGAGAAAATTACATATCTCTCTTACTTAAGTTTTCACTATTTTTTCTTTGCTAGTTTTCTCCATGTGTACATTCGTCCAGTAGCATAATGGTATAGTTGTGTATACTCTTTTGGATTCGGAGTTTAGTTTTAACTAAAAACAAATTTCGGTAAATTTCGGAAGCTCAGTTTTCCGTATTCATCGTTATGGCGGGTAATCTAAGCTAATTTTTGTTGTTTTATACATAAAGTTATGCATAGTCGTTTTTATCATTCAAATTTATAATTTGCTTAGAATATAATATATTGAAGTCGTTAATAAGCAAGCACACAACTGAAAGTTAGTGAACTGAAACACACCCTCGATTCGGCGGGTAGGTTCAGTTGTAACAGTTGTAATAATTTATATTAATAACTAAGTCTAAGAGTAAGAGTAAAGAAGACTAAAGACTAAGGCCAGGGGTGTAAGTGTAAGGTTTAACCAAGTGTAGTTTGTTTTTACACTGGGTCCGGTCCGGGTATTTTTGAGAAACTGCCCAGCCAAGTGTTGCAAGAAAACAGTTAACTTTTCATTTTCTGTAATATATGCCTACCTTCAATTTGAATAGGGCTTATAGTTATAGGCATTATAGGGCAGGGCCTACAAACAGTCCTACACCTACTACTACTACACTCTACCTGCCAGCCTTTAATTTTAAATTTAAATGGTCAATATATATATTATATTGTAAGTATATAGTCCTATAGTAGACTATACCAGTATTATTCTAGTATACTATGGACTATAGACAGCCCTACGCCATACCTCTGGCTTGTTATTGATTAATCAAATCAATAATATAAATAGTCACCAAATAAAAATAAAAAATTCAATACTTTTACCAGCGGGCAGACACCAGGCATGAAAGCTCACTGCGTAGCTGGCTTTTTTCAATCAGTACTATTTATTAATATTAAATATTGGGATGGTCTGTGTTTGGGTTGTGAAAAGGAAGCAGGGCGAACTAGAACTTACTAGAAGCAAAAAATATATAATAATATATTGTATAAGAAATAACATTACTATATGAATATGGGGTGTGGGATGTGTTCAATACAGAACAGAGTTGGCTACACTAGTGCTAGGCTCATTCCTACATGTCAAAGGACTAAGTAAACTTACTACGATTTAATAAGATAAGTCTACAAGTAGAAATTTAAACTAGTTTGGTCAGCCCTAGCTATGCAATGGCATAGGCATAGGGGAGGGATGGCACTTTGAAGGGTGGGATTTTTTTCGACCAACTGCAGTTTTTTTTCACAGACCAGAGGGAAAATGACAAAAATCTTGGGTCGCCCTTGGGCAGCATTTACCCTGCTCCCTAGCTATTGATATTTCATATTTATCCCATATTTAGTAGTATAAGTTAAGCCTATAGAAGATGTAGCTGGGGGGAGGGCATATGCCCTGGCGCCAGACTAGTTGGTGGAGCCAAAATGGACTTTAATGGTATTTTCTTAATAAAAAGGATTAGGTTCAGAGTTGTGGGGGGGTGTAAAAATTAATCTTGTCCAAGGCCACCAAACACTCATATGCTTCTGTATAGGCTCTATCTCTTGTAGATAGGCTACTTATCTATAGGATTATATACTGTTAGTAACATAATTATTATTTAGGCCTAAGGCTATTACAATTGTATAGTATAGATAATAGGCTAGTAGAGTAGTGAGACTATTATAGCCACCATCATAGAGTTATTTTTAGTTTAGTTTACACTTACATAGTGTTTTTCAGAAAATCAGACCGATTGAGAATGAGTCATATTAAATTTTTCTACCGGTAACAAAAATGCATTAGGGTTTATTTGTAAAGCAAAATCTATAAGATATCTTTTTTTTTTTTTTTTTTGTTTGTAAAGCAAACATTTACAAATCTACATTTATAAAATGTTATTCCTCTGCAACAATCAAGGCACTTTTTGTCAAAGTATCATTGAGTTAAATAAAAGTTTAAGTAGTCATATGGTAGATGTGATGACAGAAAACACATTTACTTAAAATTTAATAAGTATCATTTTTTTTTTTTTTTTTATTAATGAAGTTAAAGTAGGCTCAATAAAGAAAAAAGTAATTTGAGTGTAAATTCATATTAATTTTTAATATTAATACTTAATTAAATTACTGTTAGGCCTCATAAATGATAAGCCATATTATTATGTATAACGCCATTTTCATTACATATTATTATATAAATGAGCAAGAATTTGTTTTAATTTTTTTTCATAGGTGTGTGATTCAAAATATCAAGAGCAATGACATCATCTCCACCAATTGATGCAAAGAGTTTTTACGGCACCAAGAAAAGACATTTAGTCACCGAAAATGTTTCATTACCAGGGGAAGAAATGGTGTTGGCTTCAAGTAATGATTATATGTTTACAAGAGCTGCTAAAAGGCTCAGATATGAAAAAGAAATAGTTCATAAAAGAAAACATGTAGCCGAATTGATTTCCCAGCATACTGCACTGGTGTCAGTTAAGCAAGCTCTTCTTGAAAATAAATCCGTGAGTTTCTTCAAGAAAGCTAATACTAATAGGAATGAAAATAAAAGGTTAGAAAGAGCACTAAAAACAAAGACTTATAGAACAAAGGAGAATGGCGTAAAAATTGTTTCTGTAAATAATGTAAAAGACAATAGGAAAATACTGCCAAAACAAATTCAAGAACTAGACTTTTCATCAAGTGAAAGTGAAGAAGAAATAACTTTTAAAACACACAACTCTGGTCTTGATTCTGATGCTTCCCTAGATGAAGTAGATAATGTTGCAACTACTGGAGAACAAACTATAATTGATGAAAATATTGAACCAATCACAGAAAGTCCAAATGCAATTGTTAAACCCATATGTCACAAAGAACGCAAGTTTTTCAAAACTAGATCACCATCCTTAAATGTAACTGCAAGAGGCATCCTGTGCCAGAAAGGGTTTGATCTTAAATATTTACCATGGAATTCAAAGAAAACAAATAAATTTTCCAAGTTTAGAAATGGTGTTTTACATAATTCTTCACTGGCTAAGTCTCCGGTTAAGTCAAGTTCAAAGAAAGGTCTTTTTGGAACTCCTTCAGCAAAAAATAAACAAAATAATGGTTCACCTGCAATTTCTAATTTTATATGTGCTCCTGGCTTTGAGTTATCGGTATCTGATAACTCTCATTTGTTGCTGACAAAAGAAACTATTCCTTCCAATTGCACCTCTGTGATTGAAACACCAGCAACAATCATTTCAACAGAAAAGAATGTGCATACCGAGCCGATTCATGAAACATGCAACTCATTAATGGGTGATTTAGAATGTCAAGCAAGTAATTTTCTGACAGAATTAAATGATATGTCTGATTCAGATGACTCACAACACAAAAACTCTGTGGGAAAAAATGTCCTAAAGAAATCTGAGTCAACCTCACCTGGGGACACGTCTACAAACAAAGTGTTTCCAATATTTAATAGAAAAACTGGCCATCCAACTTCAGTGGTGTCAAAAAAGTTAGTACTTATATATATTTATGGTTAATCTTTTAGTTAATTTCTTAACTTGAAATCATATCTTTTTAAATGTCCTGTTATTTAATATGAGTACCGGTATTTAACATGCTGGTTTTGACTCAATGTTTAGAGATTCAACTCCATGTGTGATATTTTTTTATAAACTAAAGCTGATGGCACTAGCTTTATCAATCCATAGTTTTTCTATTCTATGTGCTGCAACAATTTCATCACACACAAGTAGTTGTACTGTTCCTTATTTTTTAATGTTATTGTTCAGATATTTTTCTTTTATATTTTTTCAATACTATATTGACCATTGTCTTTTATTTTATAGATCTACTTCAAAAGCATGTGGAAAGTCACCCAATTTGACAAAGAAATTTAAAATGAAAGATGGTGGAACATCACAAATGATATTGGTGAGATTTTAATTTTTATGAATATCCTTTTTTTAATATTTAAAATATATCCTAGTTCACTAAAAATTCACCTTCTCAAAACCATTTTGACTAATTTTGACACATAAAATACGCCTGATCCAGTGTTGTCCCCTAATAAGCATAAGGCCAATGTGCACCCATTGTGGCAAATCTAGTGCTGCTAGAAAATTGAAATATATTACAAATCTAGTGCTACAAGAAAAATTAGCACTACTCAGCTGATCAGGGTTTGACTAATATTTTGTAACATTGGTAGTATAGTTTAATGAATCTTAATTTAATAAGTCAAAGTTACCCTCTTTATGACACACAAGCTTACTTAGCTATTTTCCATTTGACTCTATAAAGTCAGCAGCTGAAATTAAACAATACTAGGAATATTTACTTAGTTAACACTCATTTACTTTCATGTGAAAATCATTAGGGGTGTGCCGGATCCGTTTTTTCCAACCGGATCCGGTTTTTCTTATGCGAAATCCGCCGGATCCGGATTCCGGTTTCTCCCGGATTCCGGATTTTGGTACTATTGGTAGATACTTCGGTAAGTCAAGGTGGACTACTACTTTTTGTGTATGGGAATTCGCAATCGGCGCCAAAAAATCCGAGTTTTTAATTTTCCGATGTGTGTGTCTATTTATTATTAAATTAGTACTTTCGATATATATTTGAGTTCCGTTCCATTTGGATAAGTGTCTTACGAGAGACGCCATGTTTCTACGCGTTCGCAGCAGGTTATGCAGCTCGCTCAACCTAATTTCGCCATGGGGTTGGCCACGCCCCCCTTTTTAATGGCGGAAGTTGACGATACTTAGGAAATATTAATTTATTATCACTATTTACATCAAAATAATTGATAACTTGTGTTTCAGAATGCATTTAAAGACATTTAAACTGGAATGTTTTAATTTGAGCTTTAACAACCCGGTAGAATCCATATTATAAATGATCAGAATTTACCGTGTGCAACACGTTGTCATTGGCAACCATTCACAGCCACTTGCATAACTGTATCGTAGTACTACCTCAGAGTTTCATTCATAAGAGTTTGCCGTGTGCAAAAACTATTAAACCATTGGTCAGGGAAAGCTTTAATTAATTATTCATGTGCCAAAGTTGAAAGTTTAAACTAAGTCTAAACAGTATTTTAGTGATAAGGCAGGGAATGCGTTGCCTTATATAAACTATATAGTCATTGCGCATGACGGGATTGGTGGAATGAGATCACAGAATGTGGAGATGCAGTCCATGTTAAAAAATGACAAACCAAGTCGTACTTTAAAAATTCATAACTTTAAAACTACAACAGCTAAAAATATGATTTTGGTGTTATAATTCTTTAAAAAATTACATCTTTTCAACTATGCCATTGGTTTATTTTTACAAAAAGTTTAAATTTTCTTATCAAAGTCCCTACACTATTGGCCACTATTAGCGGTGCTGACTCTAGCCTCTGGTATGTACGGAATATTAAACATTAAACAAGCTCAACGCACGAAACAATCGATTAATGTATCGTGATCGTGTGAAATTCGGGAAAGAGAATTACTTTTATTTCAGATTATGATCCGGTGAGTCACAAAATCTGGCAAATTCCGAAATCCGGTATATTCCGGAATCCGGTTGTTCCGGATACATGTAAATCCGGCGGAACCGGATTTCACCGGATAGTGCAAAACCCGGCGGAACCGGATTCCGGACCGGGGTCCGGCACACCCCTAAAAATCATCATATCAGAATAAATCATCATATTGGATTAATGTTTTGGGGATGGGGGGGGGGGTATTAACTGAGTTATAAATTATATCTTTGTCAAAATCTAAATTTATAAAATCTTATGTCAATGAAAAATGTGTTGTGATTATTTCTCTGTGACAGTTTAAGAAATTTAATTTAATGATGCTTACATTAATTGTCTTTAGCGACAGTCTCTGAAAGGGAGTATTTGTTGTCTGAAACACTTGTCATAATTGTCTGAAAAGTCAATGACTACTCAATGTAAAGAAAAATAATTTTGCCACTGCAAATTGGGTGATATAGAAATTGAAAGTGTGACTTTTATTTTATCATTATTGGAACAAATAGCATAAGCTATCATGAATTTTATATTTTTAACAGGATGCCGGGCAGAAGGAAATAGGTCCCATTGTGTGCCCAACATGCTCCATGGTATACTTCAAGGGAGATCCTGTTGATGAAGCCCAACATGATAAGCATCACATGAGGGCTGTTAAAGAAATTAAATTTCCAGTAAGTTCTTGACTAGAAGTAAACTATAATTTTTGTAATAAAATCTGATACCAATTAGACCACATTTTTTATGAATTTGTATTAATATACTACTACCATTATCAAATTTTTAATGAATGTTTCCTTTCTAAAGCTTGGGTAGCAAAAATTCAACTCCTCATCCTTTGCCTAATTGATCTTAACAGCATCTATGTGTTGTGTTTTGTCCAGCATGAGATGACATTAATTTATGTTTCCGAATTCAAAGTTCAAACACTAATCATTCTCACCAGTTTAAAATGTTAAAATGAAATCCTGAATATTTAATTATAATATGTGTTTTTTGTTGGTTTGATATTATAATTTTTTGCTCTATACATTGCATCTGGTTGAGAGAGGAGCACCCCCACAAATTGCCAGCTCCAAAGCCCTAATCTTTACACTTCTATTTGGATTTCCTAAAAGTGGAGTCATATGCTCATAAGTAGCTATTGTAAAAGATGCTAATTAATTCAAGATTCAATTTAGACTGTATGCTTAATTGACAGGATAGCTGGTTTCTTTGTTACAAAAATTACTTTAAAAATCTCTTACTTTACAATTGTCTTTGTTTAACATTGTTAATTTTTTTTTTTTTTAAACTCTGTATTTGTTTAAATAATCAAATGAATATGTACAACCATGGGCGCCCGCAGAAAACTTTACTTTAGTTTTAATTTACTGTAGCATATTTGTATGGTGAACGAACGGACATCAGCTTAGTTACTTTCTCTTTATTTTCTCTTTACTTTAATAAATTTTTTGTCTAAATTTTTTTTATCCAATATGGGGGGGGGGGGGGCAAGTGCCCCACCTTGCCCCTACCTGCGGGCGCCCATGTGTGCAACGTAATAAAAATTATAGTTGTTTTTTTTTTTTTACTCCGTTGTTTAATCAAATAAATATGAGTACAATTTAAAAAAAAATATATAAATATTTTCCCTTTCTTAGGATTAATAAAAAAAATCTTAATATTAACTGACCAATTGCAAAAGATGTATTTAAAACATTAAAACAAATAGTTAACATAAGTAATGTAAAAATTAAAATATCTTTTACATTTAACTGTAACATAAACAAAGTTCCAATTGCGTGGTGGGCCTGCAGAACACAGCACACATAAGTTGATAACATTAAGGATTAACCATGCATATCACTCTTCCACTATCTAGGGTTGGAAGGTTATACGTGTGGTGCAAGAGTACCCAGAAACTTTGGGAAGTGTAGTTCTCATTTTACCAAGTGACCTGAAGTGTAAAGGTGTCAGTAAAAAGGTATGTCTTGGGAAAAGAATTACAATTAAAAAACACAGACAGGACAATAACTGATTTTACATGATAGTTTTCACATATTTCATCACAGGCACCTAGGAAAGGGAGTGGGGGGGG